CAAGCCCTCGCGGAGTTTCTATCGCTTCAGTATTGGGTATTTTCAGTTTAACTTTGAGTTTTTCAATTTGGGTATATTTTGTTCCCATTATTCAACTTCTAGGTCTTGATTGCTCAGTATCGTGAATTTCAATTTCAATTATGTCTCATCTTATCGTATCTTCTGATCCTGGGGATTTTCCCCCTTCTTGGCATTGAATTTTTCTATTACGTGTTGAATTGCCACTGTAGTCGCGATGTCTCATTTTCAGTTTCAAGAAACTTTTCATATTAGGCCGTCGGTTAGATGAGTGCGAAATTAATATTTTCTATCTTTGGTACTCTCCGTGCTTGAATTCTTTTGGCAGCCATACGATCAATTAGGATTACTGCATTGTTGTCGTGAGTTCTGCTCTGATCTTTATTTGAAAATTTCTGTAAAGTTTTGTATGGTTTATGGAACACGGTTATCACTTGGAGAATCATCGTATTCCATTTGTGGATGTAGATGTAGAAGTTTTCATTTCCTCCCCTTTTTGCAACTCTTATTCCGTTTGACTGCTACTGGATCGGGAAATTATGGTTATGGGGCTTTTTCACTTCCTCCTGATTATAATTTTGAATGTGAGGTTGGGGCCAAGTAAGTCAATTTTAGTGCAGCTGTAGTTTTGCATATTTCCTTATTTGCATTGTCACCTTACTTTCAATTTATTTTTAACCTGAAGCTCCTTTTGTTTTTCATTTAAATAAGTATTATATTTTATTTAAGTTTTAGTTTCAGTGTGATGATTTTATAGTTGTTATTTTTTTGCTATTAGGAAGCTGTTATTTTCTGGTCTGTGTCTGTCACATGTCATGGTTTGTTAGCGTCCTATGCGTTCAGTTTTATTATCGGTTGCCTGGTTTTGTTGTTGTTGTTGTTTTTTTTTTCCATGTGTAATTAAATTGCCAATTACTTGTTTTTATAATTGCAGAGTATTCAGATTCAAAAAAAAAAAAAAAAAATCTCCTCTGCACCACTTCATAAGACACATGCAAAAACATTCATCTTACACATCCTTGTTGAGTGCAATGTTAGTTTCTTAATCTAACATGTTCTTATGTTTTATAATATACTCTTGATTTCTTCTTGTGGGGTTAAGTTCTTGAAATTCCTTGCCTGGTATTGTTATCATATCAATAGTTAATTTATGTTTTTTGCCTGAAATGCCACCTATTTTAGATATTAAGGTTTGTTTGTTTATTATTCTTCTTCTTCTTCTTCTTCTTCTTCTTATTATTATTATTATTGTTATTTTATCTATTTATTTATTATTACTTTTGGAGTTTTGTTGCCACAGATACTTTGTTCATATTTTGACTGCTAGGAATTGAAGGGATTGTGATTATCCTTTCATCTGTCCTAAATCTGAATTCTGATTATATAAGGAGTTCAAGTTACATCCTTCAAATATTATTAACTGAGAATTAGTAATTGATCTCTTTCATACATATAGATCTATTAGCTATATTTATTAATTTGTAAACTTATTGCCAAATGCAGTTTATTATTGTTATTACTATTGATATTCGTTGTCATGGAAGCAGCTATTAAATAATTACTTTATCTACCAATGCAGAGCTATAATGTTGTAAATTATGATGAAAAAGTGATGGATGGATTTTATGACCTATATGGAATTACTGCAAGCTCTAGCACCCGAGGGAAGATGCCACTATTAGTTGATCTTAAGGAAATATCTGTCACGAGTGATATAGATTATGAAGTGATCTTGGTAAACCGCTTGCGTGATCCTGAACTTCAACAGTTGGAGAGACAAGCATATAACATATTCATGGAATGCATGGTTTCTGAATATGGTTTCATTTTAAGTGGCCTGGTACAAAAAATTGCTGATATAGTTGTTGCCAGAATGGGTGGTCCTGTTGGTGATGCTGAAGAAATGTTGAGAAGGTGGACTCGTAGGAGTTATGAGTTGCGTAGTTCTCTAAAGACCATTATTCTACCGCTTGGATGCCTTGATATTGGACTTGCTCGACATAGAGCTTTGCTTTTTAAGGTTTAACAAACTCTTCACTTTCTACCTTTTACCATTGCTTTTTCTTGAACTAATGCTATCTGCTTTAATAGCCTCAGGGTCTTGGTAGCTTAGGTTTTTCAATGGCTATCACCCCTTTTTTTGTATCAACAATCAGAAATGTTGTTCTTGCTGAGTCTTTTTCTTCCTTGATTTTTTGGTTGAAATTTGCTTGCTTCATGATTTTGGTATTAGGTACTAGCTGATAGGATTAATCTTCCATGTATACTTGTCAAAGGAAGCTACTACACTGGTACTGATGATGGAGCTGTGAATATGATCAAAATCGATAACGGAAGGTAATGACTGATGAATGAATCTTTTTCCAGTCTAGTATACAATATGTTAAGAAAATATCTGACCCTTCTAATTTTCTACCCAATGGTCACCAATACGATACATGTAAAAATGCAGTCACCAATATAATACAAACATAAGGTCACCTTTACAAATAGGAAAAAAGTTACTCGCATCTTTCTACCCAATGGTCCCGTTCCCATGCCTGTGTCCCTAATTACCAGAGATACCATTTCTATGTTTTAGCACCTTTTCCAACTAAATAGTTTGACGATCTTTTAAAAGACAAGTCATCGAGAGTATTGTTTGTGTCCTGGGTTGAGGTATTATGGAAAATTCAAGATACTTTCTTATTACTTTAATAATAAATGAAAGTAATACTCACATGTATGCCTTATATGCTAGTCACTTCAAGTTGTTCCAATTTGTTGTTGCGGGGATAATTGTAATGATTGTATTTTTTTCTGTGCTTTCCTAATATTTTATGTTCATGCTCTACAATTCTTGTGCAACTCTGCGTGCAATCTAATTTAAGTGCATACTTATAGAATTACAGGGACCTCTAATGTTTATATATGATTTATTCCATGATGCAGTGAATATATTATTGATCTTATGGGTGCTCCAGGCACGCTAATTCCCTCAGAGGCACCCAGCGGTCAATTTTCAAATTATGGCTTTGATAGGAGACCTGCAGATGTTATTGCAGTTCCTGAAGAGACGCCAGTATCACAAAATGAAGGAAGCGAATTGGTATTGATTTCATCTGCTCAAGATGGAGTAGTAAATGGTTGCGATTCAATGTTCAAAGAAGCTTCAGATATAGGTGTTCAACCAAGAGAGAACGTTAGGAACTTTATTGAAGAAATTCAAACTGGGAGTTCTGATTATGATTTTGGGAAGCTCCTAGAATCAGGCAGCAATGCATGTGAAAGTTTGGAAGGTGTAGGTGGACAGCCATCGTCTGCACAAAAGAAGAAAGTTAAAAAAGTTTCGAAGTATGTCATTAGCGCTGCAAAGAACCCAGAGTTTGCTCAGAAATTACATGCTGTCTTGCTAGAGAGTGGTGCATCACCTCCTGCTGATTTGTTTTCAGACATAGATTCACAGGATAATGGTGAAAGAAAAGCGATTCACCAAATGTATTCAATCAATGGGAAAGGCATGGATGTTGGGCTTCAATGCCACCTAGAGTTAGCAAGACATGGACAGTCTTCTGCTACTTCTACTGCAGTGGAGTATTTGAATAATGCTGTCCATGAAAATAAGCAGAAAGTGTTTACTGAGGGATTATCCGAAGAACAAACACTTGGGACAAATGTGAACAAGCACGGTATTTTTTGGCCTCACGGTGTGACAAACGAGGGATTTGTGTTTGTTGATGGTGAAGCTGGAAAATTGGTTGATGTTAACGGAACTTTTAATCGTGAACAAATGGATGGTGTTTCATTAACCTCTGATGCTGACTCTCATAAAAAACAACAAGGAACTGCCTTAGTGAGCGAAGAGAGAAAATGGTTGCAAGATAAGAGTGGTGGAATTCTTCAATGCTTTGATTTTCGTGAAAATCCGTCGGAAAATTTAATAGAAACTGCTGATAGTAACCTGCATACTGCTGATAGCCCCAGTGAGACGATTAACCCAATGTTGGGTGAAGTTGCAGAATGGGAAATTCCTTGGGAGGATCTTCACATTGGTGAACGTATTGGTATTGGTAAGATACATGGTCATTGAGATTGAAAAGATATATATCTAATTTCAATCAACGAGTTATCATTTTGGTTATGTGTATTTATCATTGAATCTCATCAAATTTTAGGGAATATGAACTGCGGGTTTAATTATTATTGTTATCATTTAATTATAACTGAAAGCTGAAAGGGTTTGTTTGGATAAAACAAGTCTATTTTTGTTTCAAAAATATTTTTGAAAACTTTGGTCGGATGTCTTGTAAAATTCAATGTTTTTTTTTCGTTTATTTTTGAAGAAAGAAAAACTTCACTTGTGGTGAAAAGTAGTTTATCCACTTGAACACAAACAAAAAAGAAAAGAAACTTGGAAAATGTAGTTATCCAAACCTGTAAAATTTTGTATAAAGGTGGAGATTGTTGTTCAATGTGCTTTCTACCTACTGTTCATAATTTTGTCATTCTTGAACCCCATGATTGTTGTCCAAAGTGAAGAATAACAGCCTTCCTTGTATCCCAGGTTCATATGGCGAGGTTTATCGTGCAGATTGGAATGGCACTGTAAGTTTCAACAGATGAGTGTATGCATTTTCATATTACACGTGTAGTTAATTGCTTTGTAAACAACTTCTATGCATAAGAATATGCAATAGTAGAATAAATTAGGGCTTAACATGTTCTTTTTGTTGCACTCACTTAGGAAGTTGCAACATTACATTTCATTTTGAATATGTACTTTGGATATATATATATATATACACATTTTTTATCAGAGTTGGGTTTTTGATTTAGCTATTTTAAATCACAGGAAGTTGCTGTGAAGAAGTTCTTGGACCAAGATTTTTCCGGTGCTGCTTTGGTTCAATTAAAATGTGAAGTAAGTTACAACTTCTAACTTTTAGGTAATTTGTTTGGAAAATTTGAGCTGGTTCTAGATCTGTATTTTTATTAAAGTAAAGACGAAGCATTTCTTACAACCCAGTCAAGTATCATTTTTAAAATCCAAAATGCCCTGGTTCAAGACTGGAAAATAAAGAAGTACGGGAAATTTGTAAAAGCAGAATTTAACGAACTGAGAATTGTAGCTAACAATTAAAATTAGATATGAAAGCACATGCAGAGATGTCAAAGACACAGGAGAAAATTGCTTTGGAGCTTCAGAATTGTGTCTGGAAGATCGAGGGCCTAAAATGGCTTAAACATTGGAGTGAGGGAATTTCACGAGGTTTTTATGGGTTATAGTATGACATGATTGATGGTGGTTTGATCTTTGATAATTTGGTATTTTAAATTACGAAAAAGTCGTGTTACACGTTAAATTAAAAGTATGAACCCATCTATCATAGGAATCAATTATTTTTTCATTCATTTTTAGGTAGTTATTTATTAACATAATCAGACCTACCTGAGTTACTTTGACATCTAAATGTAGTCGGGTCAGGCGGTTGTCTATGAGAATAGTCGAGGTGCAACAAGCAAGCCTTTGAGTCAAGGATAAATTTGCTAAATCTTGCATATTTTTGGTTAAATTTTTTTTATCGAGCTTATTTCTTTAATAAGCTATATTTGCAGCTGACCTTAATTTGTTTCTGTGAAATTAGTAGTAATTCTAAATTGTTAATAATCTCTTTAAGGACTTTCCTTTATATTGTTGAACTCCTGGATATTCATGCAGGTCGAAATCATGTTAAGACTGAGGCATCCAAATGTTGTCCTTTTCATGGGAGCAGTCACTCGCCCTCCTCATTTCTCTATCCTTACTGAGTTTCTTCCCAGGTTGATTGTTTTCCTTTTCTTTTAATTTATATTATTTGAGCTTAACAATTAGGTTATTTCATGTTTTGAATGTAGATTAATGCTGCGATGTAATTTATTTTCTGTCATGATTATATACCAAACTTACTTCTTTTAGTGGTAAGCTGCTGTGGACCACTGTTATGTTGTGGTATTATGCATATTCTCAACGTCTAATAGGTATCAGTTATCACTCCACACTATGATCAAATCAAATGAAAGAAAAAGTACCTTAAAAGCATTTTTTAACTTGCTTACTATCTTTTGGATGAAGTACTTAATTAGTATTTTGTTCAAAAGTTGTAGGATAGTCTCACCTAGAAGTAGTACTTCCAAAAGCTACCTCAAACATGCTCTTCTTAGATATCTCTGCGTTTTACAGAGAAACAATATATTCAAAAAAGGGAACAATCTCTGCGTATTTTTAGAAGAAACAGAGAAACAATATAGTCAGAAAAGGGAACAAAGACAGCCTAAGGACCGGGGTGCAGGCCACCCCCTAAAAGAACTAGAGTAAAGGTCTTTCAATCATACAAAATCATGAGGAGACTATAATTACAAAAGAAATTCTTTTAATTTGAACACGACCAAAAAGTTGTATGCCATACACTATTCCACAAAAAAAATCTTCAGCACTAAAGGAATCTTCAAAAACCAGTTTGTTTCTTTCTTTCCACACAATCCATAAGATAGCTCTCACCACACAATTCCACAGCACCCTTACTTTGTTTTTAGCTTTAACCTCACCAAACTTTCAGTCAACCAACTACCTATTTGATTTGGGAGGCAAATTGAAAGATTAAAAATCTGAGAAGTAGCGATATCTCTGCATTGTGAATCATGAGTTATGTCATTTTTTAGAAGCCTCTTTAACATGATCTCTAATCTTTTGTCTGTGTTCCAACCCCAAAAATTGCAGGGGAAGTTTGTATAGGTTATTGCATCGTCCCAATTCTCAACTTGACGAAAGGAGACGATTGAAAATGGCTCTTGATGTGGTAAGGACTAAGGAGTTAGAAAGAAAAAACAAAACTCCACTCCCCCACCAAATATGGTTAGCTCCTTTTCTCTTGATAAATCTTCTCTTTTTCCAGGCCAAAGGAATGAACTACCTGCACACAAGCCATCCTACCATTGTTCATAGAGATCTGAAGTCTCCCAATCTACTTGTTGATAAAAACTGGGTTGTCAAGGTAAATGAAACTATTTTGTGCATAGAATTTTTATGACGTTACATGATTTTATATGTTCTGATTAAAGCAGCCCAATCTTTTCTAGTATCTAACTTCCATTGCTTCATAGGTTTGCGATTTTGGCTTGTCACGTGTCAAGCAGAATACATTTCTGTCTTCAAAGTCAACTGCTGGAACGGTAATAACCTTGATAATAATCTACTGAATGTACATACTACCATCTATTTTATATCTGGTTTTGCAAAGGCATTCATAATGCTTATTGTTTCTGCTTAAATTGTAGCCTGAATGGATGGCACCAGAGGTTCTAAGGAACGAACCAGCCAACGAGAAGTAAGTTCGAACAAGGCATTGAACCGGGCAGCCGTCATGCCTGCATCTTGTCTTGTACTTGAATTTGAAATAATATTTACGCTGCCTATATGCGTGCAGGTGTGATGTGTATAGTTTTGGTGTGATATTGTGGGAGTTGACGACGTCCCGCATCCCGTGGAAAGGTTTGAACCCAATGCAGGTTGTGGGGGCTGTTGGATTCCAGGATAGGCGCTTGGAGATCCCAGAAGATGTCGATCCAGCAGTTGCACAGATCATTTGTGAATGTTGGCAAACGTAAGTTTCAAACTTCAAAATCTGCTTTCAATTTCCAGTACGAGAACTAGAACTTGATACTTACACATCAAGAGTTTGTTTCTGCTCCTCCTTGCAGGGACACGCAATCGAGGCCATCTTTCTCTCAGCTTATTACTCGATTGCGGCGCCTTCAACGGCTCGTTCAGAGAACGAACTCCGGGAATCAAATACCGGAGTGAAGTGAAAAGATTCATGTGAATTAAAATTGAAGTTGTTCGATGGCTCAAAGAGTCGGAGCAGCAAATGGTTGTTCTTCTTTTTTCGTCTCTTTTTTCTTAGTAAAGTTGTTTGAAAAACACTACAACTGGATAGGGAAGTGCTAGTTCATTCAAAGTGGGGGCTTAGCACCAAACCTATTTAGAGAAGTGGAAGATCCTCCAAAGCATACAAGTTGAAAGTGCAGTGGAGGGGTTTACCATTTTTATATATTGTAGTCCTTAATGTGTAGTAGGCTGTATTGAATCCACATGTAAGAAAATTCCCAAATGAAAGGGGAAAAAAAAGAAAAGAGAAAAGGAAAAAAAAAAAGGAGCAAAATAATAACTTCCAAGCTCAAGCTGTGTGTCTGCCTGTGGAGGCCTTTGGGGAATTGTAAACATTTGGTCTCTACAGATTACTGTGTAAAACAAATTTAACCCTCCCCCTCAACCCTCACAAAATCAAAAAGCAAAAGGAATTATTCATATAAAGTTTATTGTTTCATTACATTTATTTAATTTGGTTCTCTCTTTTTAGATACTACAAAGTTGGAATGGCTCAGCCAACAATGTAGCCATTAGTTCTAAGAACTAAGAAAAGGAAAGACTCAACATTAATTCGATTCTAACTCCTTTCATTTGAATGAATGTGGTTAAGGCATTTCAAAGTTGTCTTTATCAATAAGTTTGATATTGACAAGAGAGATAGATCAACATTTTCATAATATTTTATATTGACAAGATATGAAAAATATCTATTAATTATTTGTAATTTATCTAGAAATTGTAAAAAAATATTTATTTGTTAATTTATATATCTTTCATGATCTTTTTTTTTTTTAACAACTTTTTAGATCTCGAGATTTTTAGCAACATTTAAGAATAATTATTTTTCTGAAAAACTTTCTTCTCAAGGGGGGACGATAAACCAACTACATCGCCGTATTTCCATTTCAATAAAATGAAAGGAAGAAATAAGGGATTATTAATAAAATGAAAAATAAAAAATCTAACTTGGATATTGGTAATGCCGTAGTGGGCAACCACGAACAGAGGAAAGCCGTTGGTCGGTCGTCGGAAGCTAAACATCTATGGCCGGAGTCATGTACATAGTTCCGGCAAATGCTCCGCCGCGGGCTTTCTTTCCCTCCGCCCCCAATTTCCGGCCAATAATTTCACCGTTCATAAACCCTAGGCCCCTCCACCTCCGAAATTCCCTTTCCAGAATATCCCTCTCGTTCTCCTTCCGAAAAGGAAACAACATGCCACCGGAAACAGGCTGCCCTGTTCCGCCGGAGCAGCAGCCGATTAACGAGTATCAGACTCTCTCCACCTCATTCCCCTTCTCCTGGGCGTCCGGAGACATCGTCGAGTACTGTTCTCGATTGGTCGCCACCGGCGCGTCCTTCGCGCTATTCGTCGGGCTTCCGATTACTTGGTTCGGCACTGTGGGGGTCGAATCCGATCCGCTGAAACGATCTCTTTGCGCTGTTTCGAGTGGAATTTTGTTTGTCACGATTGCGGTTGTGAGGATGTATCTCGGTTGGGCCTACGTCGGAAACCGTCTCCTTAGTGCGACTGTCGAATGTAAATCCCCATTTCTTTGTTCATACTTCTAAATTCAATGTTCAAAAAACCCTAAAATTCAAGTTCTTCGTTCAAATGTAGTTCTAGATTCGTTCTGAAATTTTCATTTGTACAGACGAAGAGACCGGATGGTACGACGGCCAGGTACACTCGGACACTTCTTCTTCTTCTTCTTCTTCTTCTCATAGGATCAAGGTTAAATTGAAATTAAGAGCTTACATTTGCAGATTTGGGTAAAAACCGCTCAAGTTTTAGCGCGCGACCGCCTCCTCGGTTCCTACACTGTAAATAACCGATCTCGATTTCGATTTCGATTTCGGCTCCATAAATCCAAGCTTCAGCTGCGATTAATAAATCTTGTCCTCTCTCAACAGGTGAAGCCGGTGCTGAATAGGCTAAAATACACTCTCGTAACCCTAGCGGCGTCTCTGTTTGTATCCATAGTTGTGCTCATCAACATCGATGGAGGCCAATTGCTAGGGCCTTTATTCACCGGAAAATCTGCAGAAGTTGACGGCGGCAGAGTAATTCCCGGCGTTTATAGCGACGAATCTGCCAGATCTTTCGAGCCTGATGCATTCTGTGGACCTGGGGAATGAGATCTTCTTCAGTGACATTCATTCTGGTAAATTTTTTATTTATTAATATTTCTCTTTTTCTATCTTGTATAGCCCATAACCATTATTATGCAGTCTAAAAATTTGGCTCAAAAAGTTAATTTTATGTTAACAGCATATATTACAATCTTTTGTACCTCTACAAACCATATACTAATTAACTAATAATCTTGAATAATCCTTTTTATAGGTTAAAAGTTCAAGAATCAATAAAAGGAAAAAAAAAAAAAGTTTTAAGAACCTTATCTCCCATTTTAAAAGAAAAAAACTTTCTAAATTGATAAGATTCTATTAGTTTAATAGAAATATATTGCTATTATTTTTATTTTTTATTCGAATGAGTATCTAACCACATTCTTTTAATATATTAAATGCCTTCTTCACATCGTGTTAAAATGATGAGATGCTTAGGCAAAGATGAGAGAATAAAGTTAATTTTCGAAAAGATAATTGGATGAGTTTTTATGGATAATTCTTTTTTTTTTTTTTTGAGTACATATGGATAATTCTGTTGAATGGATTAGACTGTGTCGTGTTGAATTGGACCATATGTATTCGTTTTGTTGTCTGATTTTTTTAATAATAAAATTAATTTATCCAAATATTACCTTAATGAGTAAGGTATGTCCCTTGATAAATTTGACTTAGATTTCTCAAAATTTATCTACTTTTTGTTGTGGAAATTTCCATCAGCTTGGTTTCTAAAATCTTGCTTTAAGTTTAATGGATCTAATCTTCAACTTTTTCTTTCTTTCAACAAATAATATTCAACTTTTTTAATTCTCGTTTTCGGATAAAATAAAAATTTAAAGTTAGATATATCTCCTTTTCAGCTCCACGCCTTCCAATAAATATATAAATAGATATATTTCTACCCACCTCAGCAGAGTCAAATTCGATGATTTAATGGTAGGAATCTTCTTTTCTTTTCTTTTATTTTACTTTACCTACCTTATGTTAATTAACAAGCAATTCCATTCAGCTGATGTTAGAGAATTTCATTATTACTTTAAATATTGAAAGGCCAATTTTTCTAATAACTGATTATAGGTTTATAATCCCATTTTACGAATTTTCAGATGTAAGAATTCTAATCTTCTACTTCAAGGGAAAAAAAGTAGCACGAGAAGGAAACTTTTCAAGTAAAAAATGATCGATGTTCCTTCGATTTATCGAACATGTGAGAGAACGAAGGAACGCATTAAGCCTATAAATCGATCCACTAGTAATCTTCATGATGGAAAAAACGACATTGTTGATTCCAGAGAAGTAAACAAAGGACCGTCGGTTGTCTGACCAATTGACTCGGACACTAGACCGTTCGTGCCCACCCTGATAACTACACCTGCTTGTCTTAATGGGACTTTCAACAAATACCAGAGCCATGGGTTGACAGATCAAGTAACCTAAAATGATCTCAATTCACAGTCTTGTGCAATGTCTTATCTAGACAATTCAAATGTCTCATCCATTTGTCTTTCTCAATCCATATTCTAATGTCGAGCTGGATTAGGCTCACAAATCTTTTTTTATTAATTATTCTATTTTAATCTTTAAACTTTTAAAACATTTATTTTTGTTATTAAACTTATCCATTTTTTGGAAAATTCTGGTTATGACAAAAAATCCAGTTGATAATCCGAATATGCATTTATTTATGATAATAAAGTATAATAAACCATTTTTTATTACAAAATTTATTCAAATAATATTCAGGTAGGAAATTTTCAATCAATTAAATCTTTTTAATGATTTCTTATGAGTCCTTTGTACTCGAAGAAGTGTGAAAGTCCACTAAGAAATTTAAAAGAATATTTATTTGGTCAATACCACTTTTTTACCATTTTGTTCAAACAAACCATTATTTTACCACCTAAATTATGTGAGTTTTTCTATACCAAAAAATTATGTGGTTTGAAATACACGTATTAGTATTCTAAAAAACGTGTATTAACTTAAACTTGTACTAGAGTTGTTTTTTTTTTATAAAGTTGGAGCTTTGAACTCATAACATATCTGGTATAGGTGTTATAATCCATTAAGCTATGCTTTAGTTGGTGAATGCATGTATTAAAACGGTTTAAATAATGGGCAAATTACTCTTAAATTATGATAATTATTACGCTTAAACCCTCAAACCTTCGATCGTAAAAGATTGTGGGCTGTATTTACCAAATCTATTTAATAATATCAAATGGGAATTTGAATGGTTTATTATTTTAAAAAGTAAATAAATATTTAATGTTTTATGGGGCAAGAGGGCCCACATGGGAAGTAAAAAATAGCAAAATATCGGGGTTGGGTATGGGTTCATGCATCTGCCCTCTGTAACAGCCCTTCTCTGGCTCCGCAACCAGAAAGAAAAAAAGAAAAGTTTGCAAATTTAATTGACAAAAGAAAAAAAAAATATATATATATTAATAATCAATTTTCTGTCCCAATAAATCGCACCGATCGTGGCGGGCTTTAGCTTTCAGCAATGAACAATCCGACCATTTTCATCGCCACCATTTCATCTTCTTCCTCTTCTTCGTTATCCACATTTTCTCTCTCTGCCGCTTCCACTGTTCTCTACAGGTGAGTTTCGGTCTTGATCTGTTTACTCTGGACTTGTTCTTCCTTCGAAATTTTGTTTCGTTTGCTTGAGATCTTCTCCTCCTCAATGTATTAAGTTCTAAGAAACTTAAATCTTGAGGATTCTAGTCAATAATTCTTGAAGGTTTGTCTTGGCGGCAGATTAGTCGTTGAGCAGTGCTGAGAAATTTGAGTTTTTCGTCCTCCTAGTTTTAGTAGTTTTACATTTCTCTCTGCCTGTTCTATTTTGGGGCCGAAATGACGTTTTTAATATAACCCACCCAAAAAAGGGAAAACGTGGAGATGATTACACGTTTTTTGGATTTCTCTGGAGCCGAAAATCTCCGATTTTAATTCGTCGATTTGGATCTCTGATTTAGAATGGTCGGTAGTGATTGGGAAAAGTTTAGATTGTAAAGAATATTTTATCGACATTCTATTTAATTCGGGCTAAAGATCAAAGTCGATAATTCTTTAGTCTTTTGTTATTGACCAAGTTTGAAGTAGGCTTTAGACTTCATAGACGAACCAGTGTTAGATCCTGAAATTTCATTTGTGTTTAATAGATGGGGAGGTTTTGTACTGGTATCCATGGGATGCGTGTTTTTCCATAGATCAGCGGGGTGAGCTGAAGAACATGGTTATACATAGACTTTGTGAAAGGAAATATGGAGACATAGTTCTTGTTGTACCTTGATTAAGGATCTTGTTTATTTTTCATCTACAACAAGCAAAAATTGAAAAGTTGGAGTCTAATAACTTGGACATATCCAAGTATTGGTTTCGAGGACTTTCTTTGATTTTGAATGATCATAAGTATTAAAAAGAAGCTAGCTGGGTGAGAAAATAAAAAATGTTTTGTATCTTTAAGTTGTTGGTGCTGGATACAGGATACCTTCATCTTAGATTCTTGACCTGTTCAATTTATTTGTGAAATTTTGGCATTTGATCACCTTACGAAACGTTAAACTGGAAATATTTGTAACAGAGCTTTTCTGGATTTTCTTAAATGGAGAGAAGATGCATAAGGAAAGGTTGATTACATTGTCATTGCATACAGATGTAGAATCTTTCCATTAAAACTTTAAAGTGGTTTATGTCTGGCATACACTCGAGTCTAGACTGAATTGATAATTGTAATGTTCTTGAAATAATTACTCAACTTTTATTCTTGCTTGCATTTAGATCCCTATTGTTTGTTCATCCATTTGATATAGTCTTGGGATTTCAGATTATAACTCTGGACCCAGCCTCCATAATCATGAAGCAATTGTGGATTTAGTCGTTTTTGTTAGCTGCAAGAAACTTCAGTCTCTCCCAGTGTTTGGTCCGACAGAGTGATGTTTCTGTTCCAATTATTAACAAAGCTATATGGTATCTGGAAAGTATTCTAAAATGAAGTCTCAAGCAGTTTTTGATGTCGAACTTGTCAGTTCTACTCAGAGCATAAAACATGAGTTCTGGCCTCTAGATGAAATCGATCCAGTCCAAGCGAAGTTCCCATGCTGTTTGGTTTGGACTCCACTCCCTGTTGTCTCTTGGTTGGCACCATTCATCGGCCATGTTGGCATTTGCAGGGAGGATGGAGTAATTTTAGATTTCGCGGGATCAAATTTTGTCAATACCAATGATTTTGCATTTGGTTCTGTTGCAAGATACCATCAACTTAACAGAGAAAAAGTAAGTCCATAATCACAATTTACACAAGTTTCATGAAATTAACCACCTGTGAAAATATGCTGATTGAGGTGTATAAATTTCACTTGTAAAGTTGAATGAGAATTGTCTGTGATGTTCCAACCAGGAATATTATTCACTTAGAGAATGCAGTACTTTGTACTTAAACTATTTACTGTTTCCTTGCTAGGTATCATATTCTCTGTTAAACTAGTTATTTTCTCTGTAAACGGTGTAGAATTTACCGATGGATCGGTAACAGTCGTATCGAAACCTTACATTTTTCCTTTGCAGTGTTGCTTCCCGACAAGCTTAACTGCCCATATTTGCAAGCAGGGCTACCAGCATTCACAATATGGAACTGCCATTACCTGGGACGATGGCCTACAATCGAGCTCACGGTATTTCGAGCATAAATCCTACAATCTTTTCACATGCAACTGCCATTCATTCGTGGCCAATTGTCTGAACCGTGTTTGTTACAATGGATCGATGAGTTGGAACATGATAAATGTAGCAGCTCTGATTCTGTTAAAGGGGCATTGGGTTGATTGGATGTCAATCGTAAGATCATTCCTTCCCTTTGTTGTGGTTCTCTGCCTGGGAATTGCCATGGTTGGGTGGCCCTTCTTGATTGGTCTGTCATCTCTCTCTTTACTTCTGGTGGGATGGTTTCTTGTGGGTACTTATTGTATGAAAAACCTGTTGGAATGCTAGATTTTGTTGTTCATCTTTTGTAATTCACAATCACAGAATGGCTTATACTTGGTTGCGGTTGCAGTTTGGAGAGATTATGTTTTTTCATATTGTTGAACTTTGAAGTTAATATTATAATGTATAGGGAGATGCTCTATTTTCCAGCATTGAGTTTGTGAAATTGATAATTATAATAATTAATGCATTTTATTTCTTTGCAGAGGTTTAGAAAGTGCATGATAAAGGTATAAATACTAATCAAACTGTAGTTCCCCATCTTCTAGTTGTGCTATTTGATCATTGATGATCAAATTGATATGAATTTGTTAATTTCTTGATATTTAAGTTTTTCATGAAGATTAATTCCATTTACTTATACTTGATAATAAATGAAAATTCAATACGAATTTTTTTTAGTATTTAAATTGTTATATTTTTACCTGTTTTGACTTGTTATTTTTGTTAAATTACAAGTTTGACTTTAAAGTTTTAAAGGTTGAAATAAATCTTTGAAATTAAAAAAAAAGTAATAAAACTTGAAAGATTAACTATAAAAGTTTAGAGAAAAATTATAATTTAAAATTAAAATTATTACATGTAATAATAAATATAAATTACCATCCAAATTTTTTTTTTACAGTTGTAAATATGACAAAAATATTTAGCAAAATTAGTTAAATAGCAATTACATTTAGTTTTTTCAAATATCACACTTTTAAAAGAAAAAGGGAGGGTCCAATTTTAAATGACAACTTTACCTAAATGTTATATATCTATAATATTTGTGAATTATTGATATATGTACGTGATACATATCTTATATACTATTAATATGAGTTTCTGACATACTTGCAATATATATGTGATATATATTCGATGTACTATTGATATGAGGATGAGGATTGTGGAACATGTATGTGATATACATCTAATATACTATTTATATAAATGTTTGATATACTTGATACAAGTGGAAATATTTATTATATTTGAAAATTCAAAAAAGAGGTGACATACATAAAAAAAAAATTGCTATGCGCTGCCATTCCACTTTTCTTTTTAATTGAAAAAGAAATAACAATACTTGAAAAAAAAATTTAAAAAAAAAAATGAAAAATAGTTTTAAGAGGGAGAGAGAATTGAATGCGATTGGTGACCGGTGAAGATGTCCCCGTCCCAATCCATCGGAGCGAGTCTCAGCCGATTCCGACTCGGAAATTCCGATTGGTAGCCGATTCCATACGTCCTGCACTCAAATCCAAGTTATCAATACCGAGTCGTCATCCAGGTTCACCGTCTCACAATCTCAACTCTACCCAACCGCACCGATTCAACTACCAACTTCTGTGCTGTACTTTACTTGTTTTCAATTTCCAACGTTTCTGTGCCCATAATCGAGCTCTCTCGCCCCTTTTTTCGCGCTATTTTCTGCTGTTCCAAAATTTCCACTCGAACCATGTCGTCTTCTTCATCGCCTGAGAATGGGAACGATCCGGAAACTGCCCGAAGAGACCGAATTCTCTCCACCAAGCTGTATTTTGATGTCCCTTCTTCAAAGGTACTGGAATTCATATGCTTAATCCCAGTCTGCATATAAGCTGGCTGCTTCTAGGTGTCGCCTGTACCCATGTGTATTTCTGGATTTTGGTGAAAACAGGTGCCGGTTATTTATTCGTCGTCGTACGACATCTCATTTCTTGGAATAGAGAAGTTGTAAGTAACTGCTGCTTAATTGCTTGTACTACTGTATTTTAGTTTAAAACTCATTGAGTATGGTGTTTGATTGATTGGTAGATATCTTTTGCTTGTTCTTCTCTTTCCTGCTTTCTTTGTGTTCTCGATCACGTGAAATCAGGATTTATGGGAATTCCGTTCCGTTTCTTTCATAGTGAACGGATGCTGTTGAACATGCTGGGAATGCCTTTTAGTTTCAGTTCTTTTCTTCTGATCAATCTGTATTAGTATCTTGCGTCCGTTTAAGGAGTTCGAAGACAATTTTAGTTGGCTTTTCTTAAAAACTCTATTTTATTTAGTTGGTAAGTAGTTAGTGGGAAATCGTGCCTGTAGGCATCCATTTGATTCGAAGAAATGGCGTCGCGTGTGCCAATTCCTTGTTGCTGCTGGAGTTTTGAGGAAAGATCAAATTGTCGAGCCTTTGGAAGCTAAGAAGAATGATCTTCTTGTTGTACGTTTTCAGATTCCACCTTTTGTGTTAACATTTGCGCTCCCTCTCTCTCTTTGTCCATGAATCCTCAAATTACAAAATTCATGAACTCGCAGTGCCACTATTTATTTGAAATATCATTGGAAAATCCTATCTTGGTAATTGTTGTTTATGTAGTAAGACTAAACTGACACATTCACAAATTTTAGAAATTCAACAATGATGCATCTTCTCTCTGGTAATATTTGATCAGGTACATCCCCAATCATACTTGGATAGTCTGAAGAACAGTTTAAATGTTGCAAAGATCATTGAGGTATTGAATCTTATATCCCCTTGCTCTGTGAATCATTTTAGTTGCACTTTTATTATAATTTGGCTTAGTTAAACATTATCTGCCGTGAAGGTAACTAGTTATTCGTTTCTTCTAGGAAGTGGGATTTTAGTCTTATGGTACAAGTCACAGGCATACTCTTTTAGAACTTTAAGTCGAAGTTCCCTTTTCAAATGCTTTTCAAAAACATGGTGAGAATTGTAATGTGTGAAACCTGGAGATGTTTCATTTTTTGGAGATTGACAGTTATATTTATTCATTAACTGATTCAGTTGCAGGTTGTAGTCTTTTAACTTTGACTGATCTGAACTACTACAATATAGGTCCCTCCCGTTGCAGTGTTTCCTCATTGTATTGTGAAGAATAAAGTTCAACGCCCATTTCGTAACCAGGTGAACTGTGGTTCATCTCAAACTCTTTTTCTCTCCCTTTTTCCATGTTAATTAAGTTTAAAATGGGTTGTAATTTTTGCTGTATGCTGCTGCAGGTTGGAGGAACTATATTAGCTGCAAAACTAGCAAAAGAGAGGGGATGGGCCATCAATGTAGGAGGTGGCTTTCACCACTGTTCAGCAGAACTAGGAGGGGGGTTTTGTGTGTATGCAGATATTTCTCTGTGCATTCACTATGCCTTTGTTCAGTTAAATATATCAAGGTACACTGTACATAGAGTTGCACCATGATGACCTAAACGAACTCATACAGAGTTGAGTTTAGTTTCACATCAATTACTTGTAGTAATTAACCCTTATCCTTGTGATATGCGACATTTGCAGGGTAATGATTATTGATCTTGATGCCCATCAAGGAAATGGCCATGAAATGGATTTTGCCCATGATAGTATGGCAATTCAATTTTTCGGTAATAGCTTTCAACTAGCTCTCTTTCGGAATGCTAATGTTTTATTTGTACTAGCAGGACGGGTATATATTCTTGATATGTTCAATCCTGGAATATATCCATTTGTAAGTTACACTGATATTCCTTGCAGCATCTCTGAATGAAATTATTGATTTTGCTGTTCTTTGTTTGCCCTTGTGTTAGTTTTTCTAGAGCTGCTAAGGCAACACAGTTTCCTATTTCCATCACATTTTCAAATTCTCTATTACCACTGTACTCGAGCATAAAAGTTTTGGATGACTCTCTCCCTTTGTGTATGTGTCGTATCTCAGGATTATGAGGCAAGGAGATGCATTGATCAGAAAGTTGAAGTAGATGTAAGTAATGCTTGTTATGGAGATAAATTTTGTTTGTTTCTCTTCTTGCCCGCATGTTACATGGGTACATTTTCTATTGCAGAGTGGGACCAAAACAAGCGAATACTTGAAGAAATTAGAAGAAGCACTTGAGGTAGCTTTTCTTGCAGTTCATTTTTTAATTTAATTGCTTATATAGTTAACTTCTTTGTGATTTTGAAACTTTTCTTTTTGCCTTGTACCTTTTGAGGTTTACAAGTCTGGTGCAACAGAGTCATCCCCTCCCACACTCTGCATCTGAAGTTTATAACATTTGGTGTTGGGGAATGAGCAATCTTAATTTGTTACGAACTCTCTGCTAATTTTCACCATGTTAATGTTAGATTGCTGCCACTTCGTATGATCCAGACTTGATTGTTTACAATGCTGGGACTGATATTCTAGATGGAGATCCTCTGGGCTTGTTAAAGGTAACTAACTCTGTCCCCAAATTAGTTCTGCAAGAAGTTGGTTTCTCCTTTCTCGCTTGCTGGTTCTAGCAAAAAGTTAGTCAGTTGTCTTGTTGGCTTATATACACAGTAATGTGCAGATTAGTGCTGGCGGAATAGCTATGAGAGATGAAAAGGTTTTCAAATTTGCTCGAACGAGGAACATTCCCATTGTCATGCTGACATCAGGTCTCTTTCCCTTGCATGAGCATGTCAATGCGATGAATGAAGTTTATATAGTTATGACAAGATATAGAATATGCTCCTTTTTAATCATGTTTGACCTTTCTCTCTTGTAAAAGATAAAAAGTACACTCATCCTTCCCTTTTTATTTCATACTAACTTTGAACTCTTTGACCAAGTGGTAAATTATCTCATTGGACCCTTTTTATTTTCATATGTTAAATAATTACTACATACCATTTTTATTTAAAATCTCTTCTATCTAAACAACACTTTACATCTTTCTTCTTTTCATTCATCTTCAATCTTCATATTGCGAGGTATGTTTATCCTGCTACGTTAAAGTTAATTTCATTATAGTACCATTTTTTGCATTACCAAAATCATAAGTTTGGGTGGTATCTGGAGATTTAAATGAGGAAGAGTATGAATGTAACATTTTTTGTCAACGAGAATTATTTTCTTGTCAACAATATAACCTATCTTGGTACTATGGAACTTTTTTCTCGATCATGAGAAAAATGTTATCATGAAGCGTAGTTCTTGTGGATCGGCAAAAGTCTTGGTGAATCTGTAAAGATAATAATTTGTTCTTGAAACCTTAGGAATGGAATTAAGAGAGCTGGTATGATAAGAAACTGCTCAAATAATAGAGGATATTTTTACCATTTCATACTTCACTTCAATGAATCAACTTTATCATATTTAAGAAAACATCCCATTTTCCAATTTTAATTTAAATGTGGTTTTTTAAAATAAAAACTCTATTAAAAATGTAGATGAAATATATGTGGTGACCTTGATTTGTTGCTATCTTCATTATAGTCTCTTGGAGTAATTTTTATTAACAGATAATTTTCAAAATTCCATTTTCAGGTGGTTACATGAAATCTAGCGCCAAAGTCATAGCTGATTCAATCGAAAATCTCTCGAAGCAGAGTTTAATCGATACAGGAAGCTCTCCGGGCTGAATATAGCTAGCAAGTGAGCTATTTTGTTTCCTCTAATATTAAGTCAGTAGCACGTACCATTTGGCATAGCTTTTCTGTAATAATGTCTGTATGCATATGTACAAATTTGGGGCAGAACTGTGTTCCGGTACTATATCCATGTCCCCCCATGTGGGAAATGCATTATTGTAACTTATCCTCTGGTAATTACCCATGAATGTTTATAAATACTGGAATAGAAACAAACTCAATGATTATAGAATCTAACAGTTGAACTGTTATTTTAACTCCTCTCTTTTCCCTTGGATTTCCCGGAGGGGAAATCAGTATGAGTAATTGAATAAGTTTGGTCAATGTCGATATTTTTAATTGAGGAAAATCTAAATTGACTTCAAGATCTGCCTTATTTAAATTCTCGACCATTTGGAATCATTGATCAAAACCATGGATATTGATTAATCAAGATCATCTGGACTTCTTAGATTCTAAGATAATATTGTGTTGAACTTAGCAATCAAGCGTTAGTTTGATTAGTTTGATCTCTCTCTTTTAATACTTTCATGTACACATCTAGTGAATGTTGGAGTTCTTTGGATGCAAGTGGACTCATTCAAGATATTGTTCTTCTAGTTGGCCTAGTAGTACAAGCCTCATGTGTGATATGTGAAAGAAAGTATTAAGGACTTTGAGAGGAGGAGTTCAAACTCTATATTAGTACTACTAGAAAATTAAAATTTCACGAATTTTTGTAATAATCAAATATTGTTAGGTTGATGTCTGGTGGGATGAGTCGAAATTTTGTAAGATTAACAAATTTACGGTATGAGATAAGTCATACCAACCTTACTTTAGCGGCAAGCCAGATATCCTTAAAACGGATGAAAAGGGAAATCAGTGTGCCTTGTGGTTGGAATTGAATATAATAATGGGGTAAAGTTAGGAGGGGTGAAATCGAAGGCAAGGCGACACGAAAATCCAAGGTCCTGGTGGGATGAGTGAGGACAAAACCAACATTGAGTTTGATTGGAGGCAGAGAAGGCAGCATTATAAGCCCGAGGTTGATGTCTGATCCCCATGGCTTATGTAATCATCAAGCCCTTCTCTTCAGGCCTTCCTCCAATGCCCTCTTCTCAACCCCGACCAACTCTCATAGACTTGTAGTCTTTTCTTCACTCTTAGGTTTTCGCAGTCTGTCCCATGACCCCACCACTTTTCTATCTAATCAGTAATCCCAACACACAGAAATCTTATAAACGTTTGTAAAAACTTAAAGATGAGAATGAGATCTGTGCAAGCATAAGAAACAAAACCATGTTGTAAAAATGTCTGGTCAAAGTCAAACAAAGCTCCGGCTGGTGTTTGAGAAACAGAAGAGAAAAAAGGGGGCAGGCCCAGAAATTTCTGGATGCAGACATGTTTAAAGCTGTCAACAATCTCTCTTACCTTTTTTCCTTTCTTTCTTTGTCAAACTCTGCATTGATACAACAAACCAAGTACTGGATGAGGATGAATGACCCCCCTGGCCCCTATGCCATATCGTTTCACCTTTAATTATCACAAATATCAACCCATTTTAAATCTTATATAATATTTATATTCTTTCTTTTCTTTTTTATTTTTTGAGGTTGAAGTGTGAGGAAGAGTTCAGAATTAAGATCACGCAGGAGTTTGTTACACATTTCACATGATCCACGAATCTCCAGCTTTGCCTTTCCAACGATTACCACAGCCCCTTTTACATTTTAGCCCTTCCCCTCTCTCTCTCTCTCTCTCTCTCTCTCTCTCTCTCTCTCTCTCTCTCTCTCTCTCTTTCTTATGAATTATGCAATTTGAGACTGAAAAGTCTGAATCCCTACAGCTGTATATGAATTGTGTATCACAATAGGTTTACTCGTAATCTTAGATAACAAATCTGCATACTGAATTGAGGCTCGATTTTTCAGGTTTATAAAAATTCTATTTGCAAGCTAAATGTCTGTGGAGAGCATTGAAAAATGGGAACTTTTATGAGGCATAGCATTTATAATCTGCAGAAAGTGCGAGCTTTATGATCCCAAATGACAGCTAGCTGGATGGATAGTTGCAGCAAAGTTGAATGAACTGTTATGAATATTGATGGGTAAATTACAAGGATGGTCAAAACCCAAAAAAGAGTTCGTGTTGTAGCTGCTGTTGATACCTCGGTAAGACCCAAATTTTAGTCTCTTTCTCTTTCTCTTTCTCTTGTCTTTTTCTCATCAAAACATACAAATTAGCTTTTGCCCAAGCCTCCCCTCCTTTTAGCTCAACACATGAACATGGACCTTCCTCATATTTTTGTGTCTGGTGCTTTGAATTGAATCAGTAGTATCAGATCCAACTACTTAATTTTGGTAGCTTATGTTATGATGACTAAAATTTAGTTATTTAACTCACGTATTAGGGGTGGAATTAAGAGTTTGAAATTAATTTGACTAAATCGATGACTCGATCGATGGGTGCCAACCAATAGTCTTGTATTGATTTTACATATCCCTTATGGATTAATCATATGAAAAGAAGTTAAGTACATTGCTTCAAAAAAAAAAAGTTAAAGTACATGTATTAATCAATGGGAAACAAAAAAGTTAAGTACATGTATTAATCAATGGAAAATGCATGTACTACTATTTATATAGCGTTTGGAAAAAAAAATCAATTAGGTCAAAGTTGGCATCACTAATTTCAAACTAATTGATTCGACCAACTTTCTCTCCAAATGTATATGTTCAAAATTCAAATATTAGGAAATGATCTAAAAATATGTTAGGCTGATGACTCATAGATTATGATAAATTTAATCATTATTACATTACGAGTTGGAGACATGCATACTAAAAAATAATAATATCTACGGTTGGAAAGGTAATCATAACTTATAGACACTTACTTTAATCTTTGAATGTACTTATGATCCAAATTATTCGTGATATTAATTAACATATAAATGATAATCCCATATGAATAATATTTAGACACTGATGTCTTTACTTATCTTCATACAAATCAGTAAAAATATCTTTCTTCTCTCTTATTTGTTAAACATTTAATGGTGGTGGATAAAATATGAGTGCATCATGGTCCAAAGGAAAGTGGTCCCCACCCCTCCCCCATGCATCTACTTGCTTCATCTGTCATGTACTTTTTTTTTTCTTTTTTCTTTTCTTTTCACATTATATATATAAAGTGTTGAATCCGTTTTGGGGCAGATTGAAGGAGAGAAGAGGAAATAGAATAGATGTAATCTGATTCTGTTGTGTAATGGCGGCGAAAACGTCACCGTTGCAGGGATTGGAGGCAGATGAATACGCAGAGTTGGAGCCACTGATTGAAAATTACCACAAGTTCGAAGCCTCTCCCAACACCTGCACTTCCCTCATCACCCAGCGCATCGACGCTCCCCTCGACGCTGTCTGGCCCTTCGTCCGCAGCTTCGACAACCCCCACAAGTACAAGCACTTCATCAAAAGCTGCAACATGACAGGTCCGGACGGAACTTTTGCGTCAAATCTATTAGACACAAATTAAACTGCTAACGCTTAAACCTTGCAGTTTAATATTGTTTTACCCTGTGAGTTACGGTGAATTTAATCTTTTTATTTGAATTACAGGGGACGGTGGAGTCGGCAGTATAAGAGAAGTGACTGTCGTCTCTGGCCTCCCGGCGTCGACCAGCACGGAGAGACTGGAGATATTGGACGACGAGAATCATATTTTGAGCTTCAAGGTGGTCGGAGGGGAGCACCGGCTGAACAATTACCGATCAGTGACGTCGGTGAATGAGTTCAAGAAAGATGGGAAAGTTTACACCGTCGTTTTGGAGTCCTACGTCGTCGACATACCGGAGGGGAACACCGGCGAGGACACCAAGATGTTCGTCGACACTGTAATCAAATTGAATCTTCAGAAACTTGCTGGGGTTGCCACGGCGTCTCTGCACGACAATGAGTAGAGGTTGCGGCGGCGGCGGTGGCGGAGACTCTGGCGGCGGTTCATGGGGTGGGATCTTTTTTCTTGTTTCTTTTTTCTAATGTGTTGTATGATGATGACGATTAGTGGTGGGTCGGTATGTTTTTTGCAAGTTGGAATTTGATTTTAGCTTGTTCTGATTTATTGGGTTTGCAGATATTGGATTGGTTGAGACTTGGGATTGGGAAGAGATAATCATTCACTATATATATATTTTGGACAAATATTGTCTTAATTGATTTCTTATCAATAAAAGATTAGATGGGTTTTTCTGGGAAGCTTAAAAGTAATCAAATTTAATTTCATGATTCTTTCTTACTTTCAAATGAGAATTATACAAAGTTATAAAATTCGAATGATTTTTTCATTTTTTAAATATAGAGTTATAATTTTATCTTGAATTCGGGTCTTTGGTAAGTTTATATGTGGTATAAGTAGATAAGTTATGTGTAGGTTGACATGTAAAATTATTTTAATGGTAAAAAATTAAACCTTCATGTTATTAATATCTCAACTATTGAAATTAAGCTAATAATTTTTTAATTTTTTTCTAAAATCCATTATGATGTTCATAATATAACCTTTTATTGTAGTATTTTTGTTCGATATTTATCAATTATCTCACTCTCTTCCAATTTGAGCATAATTGGACTTAGTGTACTTAAAAAATATCTCTCTCTTTTGTTTTTTATTTTATATTCAAAATGATTGAGATAGAAGTGTTGTATTTAACTTATATTGAATGGCATATTAAGTTAAATTAAATTTAGCGGTGGATGAAGTTTATGTATAAAATATGGGTTAGATTGATAGATGAATTAAATGTGTAATAATGAATATGGGTACCAAAGATGAGATGCTTTTCACATGCAATTGCGTGATTTGAACATCATCACAAGTCCATTATTGGATTATTTGCTTGTTAAGGAAATTTATTTTTTCTTATCATAAGATTGTGTCACTTGAAATTATATACAGTTGACTTTTTCAGCCAGCCCTCTTAATTATTTTGACGGTTTCCAACCAAATATGTATTATTGTACACTTTATTTTTTCTCGCCTCCTCTATTTCTATTTGTATTTGTATGGTAGTTTTAAATACTATTTTGGTATATAAATTAAAATAAAATATCATAACTAAAATAATATTCAAAATGAACCTTGTACTCGAAAGCACCGTCTCGTAGTACTTTTAAAAATCCGAATATTAATTTAAATAATCGTTCCAAAATTAATACAAAATGGGTTTTCAAATTTTTTTGAAAAACTTGAAGAACAGTTTTAAAGATGGATGGAAGTTGGGTGTAAAAAATTTGTGAATCCCCAAAGTTTGGATTTTCAATGACAGAGACCGAAAGATGAAAAACCGGTGGAGATTGCTTGTGAACAGACCATAGAGAACATGTGACCTTCAAACTTCATTATCAAAAAACTTGCATTAAAAATGAAGATTGCCTTTTCAGTTCATGAGCAGTAGTGAACACAAAAGAGCTTTTTGAGTCACCAAACCCTTTTTGTCAACTTTCAAGTTGCAATTAGTTTTCTTTAGTTTCCTTTTTGTTTTCTTCTTTCAGCCATATTCAGAATGGGCAGGCAAAAGCATTCATAAACATCATATTCAGAATTGGCAGATCTTTCAACGTTTACAATCTACTGGCCTTGCCTTGAATATCCATATGGAAAAGTTTACAGTTTTACACAGTCAATTCGGAGCTTCTAATCTCGAGACCGTGTCGCTTAGCTACCAAAAAAGGAAAAAAGGTTAAAAGCCGAGAGGCTGGCTGCAGAGCAGGCACAAAATTCCTCCATAGTTATCATAGATTTGTGTTACAATGTCTATATATATATGAAGATTTATATTAACTTCATAGTAGGAATTACTGAAGCAATGGGATTCATAGCTTACACCATTGGCAAGAAGTTGTCACTGAATGATTTGTCATGGAGATGGTGCCTAAGGAACTTTACCCTTATATCCCCTCTGTCGTTTATGCATTCTTTCCTTTTTCTTCCACTTTCAACACCATTTGAGTTGAAAGCGATGGATGTTCCCTGTACTGTTGCTGTAGCCACTGAATCAGCCATTTCAAAGTCACCAACAGAGGCATCTTCATCCATCACATTGGTGACATTATTAAAGAAATTAACTTCTAGGTTCTTCCCATCTGGATTTCTTGCTGGGTGTAAAAATGCAGCTCCTGACTTGCAAATGATTTCTCTAGCTCGAGACTTGGAAATCAAATGGTCGAATACCCTGACCCCTTGATCTTCCAATACCAGAAGCCATTCTGAAGTTAAATCGACTTACCATCAGCCATCAATAAAATACCATTTTATAAAAATATTGGTAGATAATGCCTAGCCAAGTCCCAATGTTGTCCAGAAATCAGAAAACATGACTCAGAGAACAATGCATGAAAATTGAAGACATGGAAGTTGTGAGTTATACACTAATTTCAGATTCATGTTCTTCGAAGTTCGAACCATATATCTTCACTATCACTCAGAGAGAAGTGCATGAAAATTGTACACTAGAAAAAAAATTATTGATCATAGAATCACACGTCGATGTCTATGTGTGAGAATAGAAACAAACCAATAAGAGCCGTGGGTGTGGAGGAGTTTGGTTGACTCATCCTCTCGCTGAAGCCTGGCTGGTTTCTGGCCCAGTTGATCAACTGAGAGGGCCAACAAGAATTGTGGAAGGCATTTATGTAGGACATAGCCTTGCTCGTATTACCAGTTTCTCTGCACCAATCAGATTGTGCACATTATAAATTTTCACTACATTACATGTATGGCTAAGATCTCATTAAGATACTGTAACTAACATCTAGAACACTGATTTACATTTACTATACCTAAAAGACCGGATACCATTATCAGCAACAAATAACCAATTCAAACAAATAGTTCTTAAATGGGTAGCAGGTAGTTCAGTTCCAAATTGAAGTTTAAGGAATGGGTGCTCGGTTATTATTGCAGCATCATATAATACTTCTCGTAAACGAACTTCGTCTGCAGAACCCTGTAGAAGAAAACAGTTCAGTAAAATTTGACTAGAAACTGGGATTTCATTGAGGAAATGCAAGAATATACAATGAGATACAAAAAAACAGACAAAAGAAATTGTATCCTGATTCTCTTCCCAGGACCCTTCTAAATATTATGTTATTTCTCTCGAGCCAAATGGCCACAAAACAATGATGAAACAAGCCTACCAAAGAATTCTAACCTTATTGTACTAAATAAATAAATAGAATTTGACCCTTGTCCCAAAAGGGAGGATACAGCAGAGGCTCCTCCATCATGGCCCCACAGTTTCTATTACAGTTTCTATTACGTGCGAAAGAAAGACCAAATGACTCCAGAAACCAAAATCAAGGTGAGTGAGCAAAATATTACTTCACAGATGTATCTGAACAAGCTTAAGCCATCATGGGCATGTCTCTGATGGATAGTAGCAGAAATAGCAGAATCTAAGACTACATCTCAAGGGGAAGTCATAAATTTTTAAGAGTACTGCTGCCTCATTTAATTATACTACAACAAACGTGGTAAAAGAAACTCGAGAAGGGAAAAAAAAACACTGACCAATAAATAGGTAGTTGGCAAAACTGACTGCAACAGCATCCTGAGGAAAATATCTGATATGCACCAACAGATTTCAGATAACAATCACCCAGATTCATGATAATAGGAGAAAAGATCGGATGCAATAAGAGCACAGCTAAGAAAAGCTTGGTCATCCAGATATGTAGAGGGCATACGAACCAGAGAAGCCCTGAAAACATAATGAACGTGCAACCCCACATATAGAGAGATATTACTTCTAGAATTAGATTTTTTTGTGAACATGGAAAAATCTACTAAAAATCTACTCAATTATATGATTCCTCCAAAAGATTATATGTGCCATCCCTGATCTTCACTTTTGGCAATATTTACAGATTACAACATCAACGCTTCGTACCTATCTAGTTTGCATTGATCAAATATATAAACTGAAGGATATGGTGGATAGTTGAACAGAACATCGAGTAAATGTAAACCAAACCGAAAGCAAAAAAGCCAAAGATACTATACTATATAGAGAATGATATGATATCCCCCAATTGTCAGATACATACAAAATGCACGCTTCTAAGTTTTATGAGATGAATTCAATTTCTGGGTTGCATCTATGTGGTGTTGGTCAAAAGAGAGGCTAGTAAGTACTTAAGATGCTCATACTGACCAGAAACCAAAGGACCTGTTAATAAATTGTGCACAATCCAGGTCGTTCAACCCTCTCGTGATATCAAAAGAGAAAATACTGAAATCAAATCTCACCATAGAAGTGACAGCTACGAAACCCAGCTATCATTTGGACTGCCCGGCTGTGCAGTTCATTTTGCAGCTCTACCATTGACATCCGAGAGGAAAATTTCATGCACAGCCTCAACAAAAAAGCTTGGTACATAACGATCCCAGCAAAATAGCCCACCCCACCATCGATACTAATGCTTTCGCAGATTTCATGGCTAACAAGCGGGAGGAAACCCTTCAAGTCTTCTCGAGGTTTGTCTACCATCCAGACTCGGGCCAAATCCAGAAAATAAGGACCAAACCCCAGAACACAATCGTCTTCCTCGGACTCTCGACCACAACAAATGCTGATATAACTAACAATCCCGTCAATCAAATTCTCAGCCTCCTCCTTCAACTTCTTCTTCTCAACGACCAAATCAAACAGAGTGTAAATTACAGGGGCCAGCACCGCGATTCTTTTCGACGCAGAGGACGACGCCGTGCAAGAAACGAGCATTTGGAATAAATCCTTAACAGCCATCAACTTTTCCGAGGAATCTCGGGCTGCGAACTTAGCCGTGTGAAACATCAGAGCAGAGTAACACCATACGATTGCCACCGGCGGGTCGGGCAAATTCCTAAGTAAACGAGAGAAAATCGGAATGAAGCCCGAGAAATCAGTAACCCCTTTTCGATATTCATCGAAAAACCGCTCGATGGAATCTGAGAGCATCAATGCATAAGGGTCTTGTTGGTTTGGAAGTGCGAGGAGCTTCAATCGGCTTTCGTTCATCTTTAAGCAACAAAATCAAATGGAAGTGGAATCTGAGATGAATTTTTGACCAGTGCTATAACAGAGGGGGTAGTCTAGTAGAAAGCCGAAAGAAGTGGAAGCTCGATACAGAGTTGAAACCCTAGATATCCGGGCCTTTGAAGCAAGCGCGAAAAAGGGAGGGAAAATCGAAGGATTTCGGTGACGTTAAACATTTTGAATTCGCAACGAATTAAAATATTGTAAACATTAAACCATATTTCTTTCTTCCCTCCACAATCAAATCCACACCAGGAACCGTGATTTATTCCTAATCGACCATTGGGCTCACCATTATCATCAAATCACATAGAAATCGTAACGATAAACCAGAAACGGAAAAGATAGGAAACTTCCATGGTGAAAGCTGACATGGGCGTTTCTTCATCAATAATTTGTATGATTCTCAAATCGGACCAATAATCAGCGGTTGGAAACTGACAAAGAGATTGATTCTCTGAAACTGAGCTCAAAATTAATAAAGAATTAGATATAATCTTGTTGCTTAATTATCCATTATCCAGTTGAGTTATAACTCCCAAAATTAAGTCACTTGGTTTTCAAAATTCGACTCATAAAAGGCAGCCCATTAAATTAGAAGAGTCTGAACTCTGAACTCATGAAATGTTTATAGATCATTAAATTAATTAAATTGAAGAAGCAGTGAATTTAATTTCGAATTCATCAAAAATTTAAAGTTTAATCTGTTGAACGAACGAACCTACATTTTTTGTGTTGTTCGAACGATTTTGTTTAAATGCATAATTTATTCATTGGGTTCAACAAAATGCTTCTTCAAAACTAGATTTGTTGAATTAATTAAAAAAAAAACAGTTGCATTGGTCCTTCATTAATAAATTCCACATTGGACTTACTATTTATTTATTTGTTAAGTTGTAATCTTCAAAAAAAAAAAAAATGTTAAGTTGTAAGTTGGGGTGTTACTTTTCCTTGCAAAAATCTACGGGACAGGAGTGAGAGATAAAATTTTACTGTAACCTCAACGGTGATAGAAAATATGTTTCTTGTCCTCATTCTTCGTCTCCATTTATTTATTTATTTATTTAAAAACTGATAATTTCAAATATTTGAAATTATGCATAATTTGATCGGTAAAATTTAATTTTAAAGCTCATTATTTTATGAATTCCAAAACATTCTTAGAAAATTTAAAATTTTATCCTTCAAATAGAGATTTAACAATTTAAATAGAAATTCTATGCAAATCAAGCATTTTTCTTAAAAATACATAAAAAAATCCGATTCCCACATAATTTTGAGGAGAATTTCGCGGTGATAAAAGAATGAAATGGGGAAATGGGGGCAGAGGCGGAGCATGCCCGATACACTCCTAGTAGTAAGAAGCTAATAAGATCTGGAGAAACAGAGTATACAAACTCCTTTAGTAAATAAAAGAGGAAATACGAAAAGATGAAGAGGGAAAACAAAAATAGGAAGGAGATTGAAGTGCAGACTAGTACATAGGAATTTGGAAAGTAGGAAATTGATATTCTTAAATTTCTCAAATTTACTCAAAAAATTCGGTAAGTCTGAGTAAACTCCAAAGTTGAAGAAACACAATTCTTTGCCATTTACAGGCTCCAGATACCAAAGAGGAGATAAAACTGATAAAAAGGAACATCAAGGGAGTTATGCATTCTTATTGCAACAACACTCATAATTTTCTATTACATTACCACAACCTCGTATTACATCTCGTCTTATTATAGTTCAAAGCATCCACCAATTCCAATACCGCGACTTCGATGGATGCTCTCACTTGGTCCACCAATGGAGGAAATCCTTGCGTCTGTTGATCTTCTTCTGCAGCTGAAGAATTCCGTAAAGCAATGCCTCAGCAGTAGGAGGGCAACCAGGCACGTAGATATCAACAGGGACTATCCGATCACAACCCCGAACGACGGAGTACGAGTAGTGATAGTATCCACCACCATTTGCGCAGCTTCCCATGGATATAACCCACCGCGGTTCTGGCATTTGGTCATAAACCCTGCAGAGAATAGGGAAAGAATAAACATAACTTGGTGACTGGTGTGTGAATCCATCTATCGAAATACCATGAGGGTTCAAATTACAATTTTTAGAACTTCCAAGCAAACACAAATTTCCCAACCAAATACTGTTACAAAAAGTCTGGTGCATAGGGTCATCAAAGAGCCGTTGGAACCAAAATGGATCACCAGTAAGCCTCGTCATATTTTTTGTAACCTCAATTCTATATATACAAACACACAGTGCATTGTGGTCATCTCTATCACCTACGTTAGCACACTTCCCATCATCATTATTATTCTTTATATGTCTAGAAATGGTCAATCCTTCAATGCTCACAAAGTTCGGAACTACCCTACCAACGACAACCTGTGTGATAGTTTATTTCCAAGCAGGAGGGTCCCAAAGGATTTTACTCCCATGAACCCAAGGCCTTCACCACTATGGCCGTCGTCCTTAGGGTTAAAGGGAAACTTTTTTATGAAAGCCCCAAAAAGGTATAGAAACAGTAAAGTAAAATTCTTCTTCAAGATCTCATTGAAAAGAATAAATAAATACAGGTGGTATTTTAACCTACTCAAATGACTACTTTGGTTTTCAATGTAATGAAACGTGGGATTCCCAAAAACTACAGAGGATATCAGAACTGAACTATAGTAGCATTCTCAGATCAAACAACAAAGACAATGATTCGCTCACTGCCAACAGGGAGTTTAGGTTTCAAGTTTGATGAATGATGATGTTGCAACATCCAGGCGAAGCATGGACAGGACTCTTAGAAGAATTCTTTAAACATAGGAAATACGTTGTTTGAAGACAAGAGATAGATATCTAATCATTAGAACAGTCATAACTACTGATACACAAATAAAAATCAAATGCTTGCATTTGAATTTAATATGCTCCTGCATCACTGAAGTGATAGACCCATTCCTTCCCAAAAGTTGCAATAATCTGTCAGGAGTTTGACACGTTTGAAAATAAAAATAGGGGGTCTCCTACTTCGCTTCTATACCATCAATTATGATTTTCCTGAATGAGTCAATCAAGTCTTTGAAACTCACTTACCACATACACACTTCGAGATTTATTTGGATTCTAATCTACATTACAGTTCACAATATCTCATTTCAAACATTTTTTTTCCTTTTGAAGTACAACAAATGTGGGGGGTGGGGTGCACACATATCCCATTTGACAAGCAACTTTTTTGGTGTCCTGATATAGCAACCTCACCGGCCACAACAACCCTCATATACGTTTTAAGAGTTAATTTGAGAGAAACATCCCGCAATATACTTTCCTTATAACATTCAAAATAATGGACTTCCTAGTCTACCACATTTATGAGAACTACCACCATATAAACGAGACCACAAGTTCTAAAAATTTTGCTTACTATTGTGATGAGTCAAGTTTCTAATACTACACTTCTTTTTATTTTATTTTATTTTCTTTTGATAACCGTGAGTATTTGGGTCAACTTGCACGCACCTCAACTAATATCACAAGACAATCGTCCGACCCTACCACACTACATTTGGTTGCTAGGGAAACTTGTAGGATATTAAGTCTGCCACCATACTACTATTCCTTTCAATTATATAGTTCACGTATGACATGTAGTGATCCCTAGGTCATGTTAGAACTAAATTTTTACCCATCAAAATTAAACAACAAGAGCTCTAGTGTTAGGTATGGTAACTACTATCTAAATTGGTGTGTTCCTATAGGCTTTAGTTCCATTTTCCAGAATGGAACAGAAATTCATGCATGCCAAATCTTCTACTACAAAATACAGTCAACAAAACACAACTCAGTCATTATCTTCAAAATATTATATAGATTAGTTTCTATCCTCTTCCAGTGTAGTGGTAACTTCCCATTCTATAAACATTAACATACAACTCTTTATTTAAAGATTTAATGCTTGTAAGCCTACTGACTTTCATGTCCAACATATTCCTAACTAGCACAAATGACTTTTATAGTCTTCATCATATAATATGAAACCTTCATACAAAGTGCTTAGGTAATATAATAAAATATGTCAATAGATGAAAAGTGAATTCGTACAGAGGGAAAGAAGGATATAAAAAAGATGTCGTAATAATAGGACTATGATTAGAAGAAAATGGCAACCAAAAAAAAAAAAACCATTTGACATTATTAAGAAGTTACCTACTTAAGTGCAATGACTCCATCAACTCATGTCAAGAGAAAAAACCACATGTATACTTCATTGACAATGAACCAATTCGGTATTATAAAGTATTTTCTTTATGATGAACATTCCAAATTCAAGGACTAACAAAATAAGTAGGAACATCTTCAAAGTAACCAAAATAGTCATATGTTTACTTAACCACTCCAATGTAATCAATTACAGATATACATAGATGAATTATTGGCCCAAACACCATTTCATTCACAAATCATGCCTCGATGATGAAGCCAAGAAACCTTGTATAAGAGCTTTGCTGATAATTACCTCAATAAACTTTCCTTCTAAACCAAGGAATTCATATGCGAAGGGATAAAAATCTTCAGAAACATATTATATTCATCAACGTAGGCAAACAAAATAAATAAGAGAAATTTCGCCAAATTGCTATACATGAACTTAGTCATTCAATCCAACGCATCAAAAGTAATTAACCCATTTTTCATAATAAAGCAGAGAAAATTTCCATAAAATCCTTTGATGCAGAGGATGAAAAATCGTATTCATGATAATCACCCCATTTAATTAAAACTAATCTGACCCAAGAAACAAGAAAACATAGCAGATAATTTAGTAGTACAAGCCACTTTAAGTTCTGAAGTTTAAACCTTTGACCTTCGAGTTAACAGACTATCGATCAGGCAAGATAAATATACGATGAATATTACAGACTGCAATAATATCTTCACAAATTCTAATGGGCAAAAGCAAAACATGTGCACTACCAGTCAGGAACAATTGGAAAAAAAACAAACAAACAAACTCCAGAAATTGTAAGAGTTGAACAATTATAAACAATGATCTCAAAATGAAGTTTTCCACCGAACTACTTATTCAATTAATTATATGGTCTGGTCCAGAGACTCCAGGAATCAAACGAAAATCGTCGAGCAAACAAATACCTACGGAGAATAAGAGAGAGAGAGAGAGAGAGAGAGAGAGAGAGAGAGAGAGAGCTAACTTGCGAAGAGCTGGGGCCATCTTGTTAGTGAGGGTGCCGGCCACAATCATACAATCAGATTGCCTAGGGCTGGGACGGAAGATAACTCCGAACCGATCAAGGTCATAGCGGGCAGCACCGGTGTGCATCATTTCGACGGCGCAGCAAGCAAGGCCAAACGTCATGGGCCAGATAGAGCCACGGCGAGCCCAGTTCATGAGGTCGTCGACCTTGGAGATCACAAACTCCGCTGCCTTCGGAAGCCCCGTGGGGGACGAAGCCGAAGGCGGCGGCGGCTTCGCATAGGGCGCCGGAGAGGCGGTCGAGGCAGAAGACAGAGCGGGGGCTGTGGTATGAAGAGAAGAGAGAGCTCCCCGAGCGGCAAGCAGATGAGGGATTCGGCTGGAAGCTCGGCTTACGACCGCCATTGCCACGGATCAAGATTCAGAACTCTTCCGAAATGAACAATTCAGAAATGAATACAAAAATTACATTAAAGAATTTACAAATCGCTATTATTCCGTCTATTGACGTGGCACGCCATTGGCGCTGCATAAAAACGATGTGTCGCACCAAATCTGGGCCCGAATTTAAAAGCCCAGTCCAATATTCAGAAGTCCAATTACAACTAATGGGCTTTACGATCAGAGATCCCCGGTCTTTTCGGTAAATTCGTATTCAGAATTTAGGGTTTTACGAATCCTCTATAAATTTCTGCACCATCGGGGCGATAGAATTATCTCCCCTGTGGCCTTCATCTCTGCGTAGGTTGGATTATCTTCTAATTCTTCTTCTTCAACTCTGGTTACTCTCGTTTTTGTTCGATCTAGAGAAATGGGTTCGAGATCGATCTTGAATACGTAAGCTGTTTTTTAACATTTTTCGATTGTGTTATAAACCTTGTGTATGTTTGGGGAGTGTTCTTCGGAAATGGCTCCATAATCGAGTCAGCAGCAGGCGCCGTTTTGGTGGCGATTCGTCTGCCGCATGGAGCCTATATTTGGTTACCGGAAGAAGATCCTTGAAACTCATCAGTTGTTTCAAGATACAATGCCCGGTCGACATTCCCAAATTTCTCTATAACCCCCATCATCTTCTATTTTATCTCGTTTTCTTTAGATTTTTGAAGTAGTCAAGGGATTTTCTAGGTTAACTGATTCTTGAAAACTTAATCAATTTGATTATGGTTTGAATCGGCACTCAAGTCAGACACGGGTGTTTGTTCTTCAATTATACAACAAGCAACCTTTTGCACAGTGCCTAAAATGAGCTACTGAACACGATTGGGGGATGCCACTATTTTATATGGTTTCCTCCAAATTTAAAGCAGCGAAATTGTGTATTCATTTCCAAATTGATTTGAACATTTTCCTAATTTCAGAAACATTGTTTGATCGTACGTATATTATGTTAATTAAGTTAAATATTGATTTGCAAAGCTCTGCCACCCTTGTTTATGGATATGATGGTGTGTGGTGTTGGAAAATATAATTAACATATTCTGGGTTCTGGTCTTTGATCCTTGAAAGTTTTGATGAGGTTTGGGCAAATTTTCAAAGAAAAAAAAAAGAACTAATTTGTTTTTAAATTATATTGTAATACTAATCTACTTGCAATTTTATTTAAAATTAAGTCTAATGCTACGTTTGGTAAAAAAAACTTTCCTGGGTGGATTTTGAAAGTTTTATAGCAAATTAATTGTTTTAAACCTGTAAAAATTTTGTTTTCTTTTCTTTTCTAGTGAATAATGATATACAATCAAATAAATATAACTTCATTTACTTAAAGTTATTTCTAGAAGTTTCTTGATCTAAACAAGTGGTAAAACTAAATTGAAACGAGTCTTGATTTGTATTGATGACAGCACATGAGACAAATCATGGGCTAAGGCAAATAGTCTACGTGACAGTTGATTTTGTAAAAAATGGAAAAAGATTGTAATTTTATTTAAACAATTTTGGCTAACATCAGCCTACCATTGGAGAGACTTTAAGCTACTAACCCTGATGACAACTGTGATAACAAATGACAGAAAGATTGAAATTAAGAATTACTAATTTCAAAGTGGTAATGAGCCACTCATGATCATTACTGTCTTCTAATTTTGACTAATCATAACAGCATTCACCCCTTGGTGCTTCCTCTTCCCCTCCGGTATCATTCATTCATAAATTAGAGTGTAATGTCATTATTTAGTTATTTGAAAGTTTGAAAATTGTACCAAAGAAACTTTCTTTTGAAGGATTTTGAGTTTGATTAAATAAAAGTTTGTAAGTTTGAAGATAAATTTTGAAAATTGTATTAAATATTTTAAAGACTTAAAGTTTTGATTTGTTCGTATCTTTTTTTTATGAATGTTTTGAAAGGAAAATGAATTTTGAATTTATGGAAATATTTTTGTACTCTTGTATGAGTTTGAAAGTCATCCTTCTGTTTAGTTAAGAGAAAAATTCTAACTTTGAATAATTTTGTCAGAATGACTGTATTAGAAAATACTGGTTGTTACCTCAACAGGAGACCAGTAAAAAGAAAAAACAATCTCAGCAATCTCTACAATGTGGGAAATACACACAGAAAGTATATAAAGTAGAAATTTTATTGAGTTAAAAAATATATCTTCAATTTTTTATCGCATCCCATAAAAAATTCCAACTTAAACTACAGGAATCGACTTATCCGTAACGGACAAGTATTCAAAATATTATATTCTCATAATAATTTGTAATCTACAAGTCTACAAAACTAATAGCCTCCTCTAGTGCACATTCATGGCAACAAATTAAGTGCTAAAGTCATCTTCAAAATTGAAATTTTTATATTAATCAACTTGATGGTGAAGCAGAAAGTTTACCAGATAGTGAAGCAACCTCATAAAAAAGAAAATTTGAACACATGTTTAGAAGCAACAAGAGCAGTCGAATGGGCAAAGTGGGGTGCCTCCAGCATCTGCATTGCCAAAACCCAATTCTTCTTCGGTGTAAATAGCAAGTCCATCCCCTGTCCTCTTTCTAGACCGCGATGGTGGATCTGAAAAGCCATCTTTAGACACAGTCTCACGCTTCTTCTTGTTCTTCATTTTCGGTCTATCAGATGTATCTAGTTTTGGCTTCTCGGCCTTTTCAACTTCTGGTTTCTTTCTCTTCTTCCCAGCAAAAATTTCATCAATCTCGCTACTTTTCTTTGCTGAAGGGGGCTTTTCTTCTTTTACCACAGCATCGGGCTTTTCCTCTTTTGTTGCAGCATTCTCTTGCACCTCCTTAGGCTTTTTGGAAGATTTCTTTTTTGGCATTTATATAATATTATAAGCTACAAAGAGAGTACACAATCTTATAATTTATTCGCTGCAATCCAAGCATTAAATATACATGAAGATCAAGATTGATTCCCAATCAGCCCTAAAAAAGGTATACTGCAACCCAAGCATTCAGTATACGAAGCTAAGCTTAAATAATTTTTCCATCCGTTCAGAGGTTTAGCAACTTAGTATTCATATAGAGTGCAAGAATAACAGTATGACACAGCTAAAGATCCTCAACCCACCCTTAACTAAAAATACCATGATACCAAGATATATTTCAAGAAGTTTGATAAAATAATTATTACTTGTAATTCAAATATAAACATGATTCTTTTAATAACAAGTAGAGACTCATAACTATAAAGCAGAAGATGAATATGAAAGGAAAAAATGATGAAAACTATAAAGATGAAGTGAAAGCCCGGTCTTTCTTGCATGGTAGTGCAGGCAACTTAAGTTTAGGGGCCTCCAGTTTTAGCAGTTAATCAAAGGGAACGAAAGTTAAAAGAGAAAGTAAGAGAGGTTAAGGAGAAATCAGTACATGCAACAGGAATCTCCATGCCAACCTCCATGTTCGATTACATGAGAAGCTTCCAAAGAAAAAGACTCCAAGAACGGATAAATGGAGAAAATTGTCATTTTCCCTCCTAAGATTACCACCTGTATTGTAACCTTTTTCTACCTTATTAGGATACTACAGCACATATTTTGTACATCAGCATAGATTGTATTATATTGCCAACATCAAATGAATGCCTCTTAACAAGAGTTAACAGATTGGAAGGGAAAATGTCAGATAGCAAGTTGGAGCTATATTTCTCCAGTTCCAAGTTGAAAATCAAGTACTTGTTGGACAAAAGATGGACTAACAGGAACTTTCATTATCTGCCCACAGGCCACAGCTTTAACACAAATTGAGGAATTAAGAGGTGAATCACATTCACATTAAGCAAAATCTTAAAATTTCCAAGCTGAAAAGTAGAAAGTATTTTGCTTTGATTCAGATATAGGATGGATTATTCATTGAATCACATAAAGGAAATATTTGAAAGAGGAATACGTCAACAATATGTTGGATGAGATTTTCACTTAGAGTTGGGTCGGAAAACAACTCAGATAGAGTCTCCAACACAATGCTAAATAAGACCTCAACTGCAGAAGAATTTTTAACTACAAAATTGCAACACAATGGTATAGAATTGTTGAATTGAACCACAATAAGTTTCATTGTATCTATAGGTCGACTTTTGCTATTTCAGCTCACCAATTCAGATAAATTAAGTATAATGATGCGCGACATGCTAAAAATAAAAGGGTAATTCCTAAGGTTGAGATGATGAAAAAGAATTCCCCTAAAAATTCGATTGCATTAAACCTAAGAAACAGACGTGGGATGCATAAACCCAACCCAAAAGGGGGACAAACCCCAGAAATTCCGTCTTCCCAGTTCTCCATTTTTTAACAATGAAAACAAAATGGGCAAAAAAGGTCACTCAAAATAGCTCACTCAAAAATTCACTCAAAATTCAGTAGTCAAATTCAGTGCTGGAGCAGCCATAAAAATTCACTCACAATTAAAAAAAATCACAATAGCTCTGAAATAAATACGAGAGATGAGAATGAGACCGTGAGAGGCGACGGACGGCGCGTAGGGCGACGAACGAACGGCGGCAGTGAGATAAGTGTGAGAGGCAAGAGTTCCTGAAGATCGTGAGATTGAAAGAGGCGAGAGACAGTGAGACAGTGAGACAGTGGAAGATGAAATCGTGAGAGTTCGGTTACGAGGATACGGAAAGTTGAAAACCCTAACCCTAACATAATATATATAAAGTTTCGGAAAAAAATTACTATATACAAAATTACAAATATATAAATATATGTAAAGTGCTATTTTGGTAATAATAATAATAGCAAACTAAATGTTTCAAAATAAAAATAATATAAATTCGTAACATTTTATAATAAAATTATATCAACTAATTGTATAGATTTTTTATACAATTATATAACTGTTTCTGCCGATGCCATTGAACCCTCTTTTTGCCGAAATCAGAGGAATTTTGGAAGCTCTAAAGCTTGCTGCCTCACGGAGTTACACTCACCTGGTTGTAGAATCTGATTGCCAAGAAGTCATTCGCCTCGTTCAAGGAGATCTGTTTTCGATGGGAGAAGAAATGAATTGGATTATGGAAATCCAATCGTTAGCCCTAGCGTTCGAATCAATTTCCTTCATGCACTCTCCCCTCGTGTAATTTTTGTGCGCATTCCTTAGCCAAATGGGCAATTTCGGCCTCATCCACGTGTCTATGGCAGTTTCCCTTCCCCTCTTGGTTAATGGATCTTGTAAAAGGGGATTCCCTTTCAAACGGCTTAATTAAATATTTCTTTCTTCAAAAAAAAATGTATAGATTTTTTATGAGAGAAATATTATTAGTGGTGTAAATAAATAATAAAAATCAATAAAATTACAAAACAATTAATTAGAAAGTTACAACTTTTATTAATTGATAAAGAGATAAAATATGAAAACAATTATTAAAAATTAGTTAAAAATATCTTTAGTATCTATATTTTCATTCCACCAACGATGTTAACTTTAAATTATAATAATATTTATATATTTTAAAATTAGTAACAATCATAAAAAAAAGTGACAATTTAACCTTTGAATAGTTTAAAATTTAATTATAATAATATTTATATATTTTAAAATTAGTAACAATCATTAAAAAAAAAAGTGACAATTTAACCTTTGAATAGTTTAAAATTTATAACTAATTGATCATAAAATTTACGAGAGACATGAAATTATTAATTTCTTATCAAAGTGATTTTCAAATTTGAGATATCATTCCTAGATTTAGATTTACATTTTTAACTAAACTTGTAATTCAGCCAAACTGAAAACTGTCGAATTCATAGAGAGAAAGAAAGTGGGTAGAGACCTATCATTTAATTTCTGTTTTATTGAAATAATTAACGAGACACGACACCGGACCGATTTCTTTGTTCCAATTTCCAAAAATCGACCCCGAAGAACAACAACAATGGAGGCAATCGAGGGGGACAGAGGAAGAAGCCGGTACTCACTCAAACCATCGAGGATAAGCAACGAGGACATTCTCTTCTGCATAGATGTCGACTCTGAATCTTCGATTGAGATCAAAACCACCGGCTCCAATGGCCGACCCATCACCAGAATGGACTCCATTAAGCAAGCAATCCTCCTCTTCGTCCACGCCAAACTCTCCATCAATCCTGAACACCGATTCGCATTCACCACCATCGCCAAATCTGCTATTTGGGTAATACCCCATCCCCATGACCTATTTTTTCCCCCCATTTTGTTTTGATTGTTCAGAAATGGAGATTTGGGGGACGGGATTTCTGGGGTTTGTCCCCCTTTCTTAGGTTTCGTGCAGTTTAATTTTTAGGGGTTACCCTTTCGATTTTAGCATGTCGCGCATCATTCTACTTATTTACCTAAATTGGTGAACTGAAATAGCAAGAGTCGACGTATAGATACAGAGAAACTTCTTGTGGTTCTACAGAAATTGGGGGTCGTTCTTCGGTTGGAAATTTGCAGTTTAAAATTCTTCTGCAGCTCAGGTTTTATTTAACATTGTGTTGGAGATTCTATCTGAGTTGTTTTTCCGACCCAGCTCGTAGTAAAAAGCTTTCCTCTTACTTATATTTCCTTTGTGTGATTCAGTAAATAATCCACCCTATAGCTGAATCAAAGCAAAATACCTTCTACTTTTCTGTTTGGGGATTTTGAGGTTTTGCGCAATGTGAATGTGATTCACCTCTTAGTTCCTCAATTCTTGTTGAAGCTGTGGCATGTGGGCAGATAATGAAAATTCCTGTTATTAGTCTATCTTCTTTTATCCAACAAGCACTCGATTATCAACTTTGAACTGTAGAATATAACTCTAACTTGCTGATCTAACATTTTCCCTTCCACTCTGTTAACTCTTGTTAAGAGGCATTGTTTTGATCTTGGCAATATAGTACAATCTATGCTGACCCTGAACAAAATATGTGTTGTACTACAGTAGTATCATAATAAGCTAGTGAAAAGGGTACAATACGGATGGTATTTTAAGGGAGAAAAAATGACAATTATCTCTATTTATCTGTTCTTGGAGTCTTTTTCTTTGGAAGGTGCTTCTCATGTAGTGGAACATGGAAACAGGCATGGAGATTCCTGTTGCATGTAGCTGATTTCTCCTTAGCCTCTCTTTCTTGCTCATTTAACTTTCGCTCGCTGTGATTAACTGCTAGTACTGGAGGCCCCTAAACCTAAGTTGCCTGTGCTGCGATGCAAGAAAGAGCGGGCTTTCACTTCACCTCTATACTTTTTATGATTTTTGCCCTTGACCATTTATCATTCATTTTCTCCTTTATAGTTATGAGTCTCTACTTGTTATTAAAAGAATCATGTTTATATTTGAGTAACAAGTAACAATTACAAATCTTACTATTATGGTATTTTTACTTATGGGTGGGTTGAGGATCTTTAACTGTGTCATACTGTTATAGTGTTATTCTTGCCCTCCATATGAAGACTAAGTTGCTAATCCCTCTGTACTGATGGAAAATTTATTCAAGATTCTGCTTTAAAAAGTCTAGTTCTTTTATAGCATTTATTTTTCTTCAATGAAACGTCAGCTTTTAATCCATGGTTTCATGATTGAAGCTCAAAAAAGAGTTCAGCAGTGATATTCCATCTACAGAGGCTGCAGTTAGGGGGCTTTCTGCTACTTCCTCCTGCAGTCATGCCGATCTTACCAGTCTTTTCCGGTTAGCTGCCCACGAAGCAAAAAAGTCGACCGCTCAAAATCGTATTCTAAGATTGGTATGCTCATTATACATATAGTCCCTATTTGTTAGCTTCAGCTCAAATAACTTGTCATTTGTTTGAGTCAATGAGTTAGCCTAGAGACAGCATATGTTCCAATGAATATTTGAAAGATTCTATGGATGCATCATAACGTTTTGTTGCATATAGATTCTTATCTACTGCAGATCATCGACACGACCCCAACATCAATGGCCCGTGAACCAAAAACTCTTCACCTTAGATGTTATTTACCTCCACGAGAAGCCCGGACCCGACAACTGCCCCCAGGAGGTGTATGATGCCTTAGTCGATGCCCTCGACCATGTCAGCCAATATGAAGGCTACATTTTCGAGAGTGGTCAGGGAGTAGCACGCGTTCTTTACCGTTGCATGTGTCTGTTGTTATCACACCCTCGACAACGAATTTCGCTAGATGATCTCGACATACCAAAGCCTCTTACAAAGAAATTACCACCCACCGATTCAGTTCCTACCAACGAAGTCGTCCCTGTTACCAGCCAGTGAAATGCCTAGGGGCTAGGTGATCTTGTAGCTTAATTGTACCTCGTGTTCGATATCTTTTTTGTAACAGATTTAAGTGATGTGCAATGTACATAGGAAATGTTTACGACGAGAGAGACGACCACGTCCGTGGAATGGTATCAAAATCATCTTTGTATGCTTAGATTGTTTGCTCATAATGTTCCTATATTTTGATGAACCACATTACATATTTGATAAAGCCTATTTTGGTATCAGAAAGTTGACTTAATGCTTGATATCAGAAGCTTGTTCCAATAATTGATAGGGAAATTTAGGAATTTGGATTGAATGGGTAAGCGATTGCCACTTGGCACTCTGATTTCAATTATTGTTGGGTTTATATTTTGGTGAAAATGATAGAATATTGTTATAAAATTTTTGGTCAACTTCTAAATTAGTGGCCAATTATGTTACTAAATTTATCTGATCAATTTTCAACACCAAAAAAGAAAAAGGAAAAACTCTCTGATCATCCCAAAAGCTACACCATTGCGCCCTTTCACGTCAACTTAAAGTTCACCTGCTTATATAGCCACCCCTGACTCTCTATTTATAATTAGTTGTTTATATTTTGCTTACGAATTTGATCCCGAGTGTTACGTTATAATTATTAAGTTATAATACTCGAAACTTGCCGTGTGTTTGGAATGACTTTTAAATAAACTGTTTTTCTATAAATATTTTTTAAAAATTATTAATTTAGAGTATTTTTAGTTTATCTCCCTAACATCGTGTTTGGTAATAAATACATACGTGGGTCAAAAAACCATTTTTCAAAAATATACTTGAGAGATTAATCATCTAAAAAGAACTTGAAAAAGATCACCGCTGTTATAGTTTAAGTATTTGAGAATCGATTACTATACAATAAAAAGTGATTAAATTAGAAGGTATGTCAGATTTATCTTAAAATTTTCGTGTAAGATTAATTGAAAAATGTAAAGAAAAATATTTAAGTATTCTTTTATCGACTGCGATTAAAATTTTGTTATAATGGGAAGAAAATAACAAAATTTATTGGTGTTGAAATATGAATGCATGATATGAGATTGTGATGAGATCACATTGGAATAGGAAAGTGGGACCCGAAATCTCTTCCCCATACTTTGGTGGGATTCAATCTTCTTGTGAGTGGATCCACGTCATCTCCAATTTCAAAGATTCCTTTTCAGAAAACTCATCGGCTGAGCCCGATCAACGGCTCTGATTTATCAAAGTGGGCCCCTTTCGTGCATTATTGGACATTCGTTAATTTAATTATAATAATTAATCAATTAATTATCTACTAATTGGCAATTATTTATTCCGGAAAATTGACCATTTGATTGCCGTTCGTTTCTTCTTTGCTGTCCGAATTCAATAAATAAATTATAGAACTTAACCACACACCTCTTCCTTCTCATTAAATTCCCTTCGCTACTTTACAAAATTTCCCCCAAAACTTATATATAAAAAAAACTAAATTGTAATTTGTTTTCTTAGTCAACCGTTAATTGCTTTTCCGACTAAATAACTACTTAGCGTATGGATTGCCTCATTATTATTATTCGACAAATGATTCATATTTCTTGTAAATGTTAATTTCATTTGTGCTTGTCGGTTCCATTGATTCTTTGACTGTGGCTAAAAAAAGTATCTTTTGTTTTAATTTTGTCCCTGATCTTAAAAAAAAAAAAAACCTAATGTCAATGAAATATATTTTGTATTCTACTCATTTTTCCTCCTCCCCAAAATTTATCAAAGTTTCAATTTAACTATCTATGTCATCTTTTAATTATACCTTCTATCTTAGTCAAAAAATCAAACACAGTCAGATAATAAATTTTCACGCTTAAAGACATAAAATTTTCGAATTTATCTTCCAATATCACTTAAATTGGTCATTAGGCACATCTAAAGCTTTATAATAGGAAATATTGAAACTAAACTTAAAACTTTTTAAAACCAAACCCCAACTGGAAGATGTATTCAGCTTTTTGTTTTCGTTTAATATAATGTGAAGAAGGCAAAAAGAAATATTCTGAGTCAACGGGCAGGTTCCAAAGGAATATAATATCTCTGTTTACTCTGCTAATCTGCGCCATGTAGGGCCATTGAATCCTTGATTAAAAGGAGGGTCATTTCTTCAACTTCCCCCACCACAGAAGTTGGATCTCTTTTTATTTTAATTTCTCTCTGTGAGTTGAAAATGGGAATCTGCATATCCACTGCATCTTCTCAGATTCGCCATGAAACCGAAGGCAGCGTTATTTGCAGAAACGAGCTCATCTACGAACAAAACGGCTCCATCTGTGGGATTCAGAAGCTCGATTACATCTGTTCCAAGCAAGGAGCCAAAGGAATCAACCAAGACGCAGCCTTTTTCTACCAGGTAATTAATTTTAATTCCCTCTTCGCGTTTCGCTTCCATTTTCACACACTGGTCTCTGTTCTGAACTCTGTTTTCGCCAGAACTACGGAGCAGAGAACACGGCCCTGCTCGGAGTTTTTGATGGGCACGGGAAAAACGGCCACGTCGTCAGCAACATGGTAAAAAATCGCCTCCCTTTGCTGTTGATTGGGCAGATAAATGAAAGAAATCGCGAAGAGCAGTTTGTTACTGCGTTTAAGGTGATGGACAAGGAGATTAAGCTTCATGAGAATCTGGATTGCTGGTGCAGTGGATCCACGGCTGTAATTGCAGTAAAAGAGGGAGAAGATTTGGTAATTGGTAATTTGGGGGATTCGAGGGCGGTGTTGGGGAGAATGGGCGAGGGCGGAATCGAAGCCGTTCAGTTAACGACTGATCTGAAGCCTGGTTTACCCGGTAAGTAAGATCCCGTCGTATAATTAAATGTACCCAACTCATCTAAGTTTTTGCAAATAATGTGAAAATTGTGGGTGCAGATGAAGGGGAGAGAATAAGGAGGAATAATGGACGGGTGTTGGCGCTGAAAGAAGAGCCGCATATACAGAGGGTGTGGCTGCCGAATGAAGACGCGCCGGGGCTGGCCATGTCCAGAGCTTTTGGAGACTTTGCTCTTAAAAACCATGGCATTATTGCTCTCCCCGACGTCTCCCACCGCCGTCTGACTTCCGACGACCGTTTCATCGTACTCGCCACTGATGGGGTAATCTAAACCTCAACTTCAACTCTAAAAACATGTTTAACTCATGGATTAATCTATTTTAATTTTGTGTTTAACCGATCCAACGTGTTTGATAACTTTTAATTGAAAATACATAAGACTTGACGGACGGATGAAACGTATTTATATGTGACTACTATGGAAAATTTGACAGTTTGTTGTTTTTATTTTAGTTCTCTATTTTTACATTTATCTTCCTAATTATGATCCAAATATTTGATAAAATTTAGAAAATTGACCGTTATATATTATAGCTTCTTTTCTTTTATGCCCCCTTAGTTGTCATTTCTTAGTATTTGAACAGGTTTGATACAATATTGAGTTTCGTGCCTTTTAATTTTGTGCATATTGTGTTATAAAATACTCATTTAACTTATTAGAATACACGATTGAAATTTGTGAAAGTAATTAGACATTTTGAAGTTAAATAAATAAATACTTTGATTTTGAAAAATTAGAGGCAAAATTAACACATAATATAATTTGTTTGCTCCATTATTAGATGTTAGATTGGATGATGTTGGGCAATTTTTAGGAAAAGATAATTAGATTTACCTTAATTCATGTGTTGGAATTTTGGGTATTTATTTTCCAGATTTGGGACGTGCTAAGCAACGACCAAGTGGTGTCCATCGTGTGGGAGGCGGAGAACGAAGAAGCGGCGGCGAAAGCGGCGGTGGAGGCGGCGGCGGAGGCTTGGAAACGCTACCCTTCTTCAAAACTAGACGACTGCACCGTCGTTTGGCTGTTTTTACAGAACCAAGCCGAGAGGGAAAACTGAACGTACGTAAACTCTGCGGTGGTCGTGGTGGAACTCCGGCCTCCGTACAAAATAGACCTGCCGTCCGTCTGAGTCTCCGCCGTTAGTACGGCCATGTCCGATACACAGTACTGGATAATAGTTTTTGTTGCAATAAATATTAAATATGTAGTGGAAATGGAAACATGAAGAGAATTTGATGGGTGAATGGGAGAGAATATACTTTTTATATCTCTAATATTGTCATTGACGTGCTTTTTTCAAATGTTGTCATATTTGTAAATGCAACAATATAATTGTAATTTTGTAAATATGACAATTTTTCGTAAAAAAATCATGAACTTATTTAGACATTAATTGTTACCCAAATTCTTTTTTTTACTTTTGTATATCACCCGTTTACTTTTTACTTTTATTTATATATTGGTTATATATAATGACAACGTATAAATTGAAATATAAACTAAGCTTTGAAAGTGCCCGTAACAAGTAGACTAAAAATAGGACAAATGTATATATATCTATTTTATTTTTTTTAAATAGATAAAATAGATATTTTAGTTTTTAAAATTTTAACAAAGAAATACATGAAGCCAAAATCAAACCCTGACCGCGCCAAAGGAAACTTGGGCAAGTGCTCCACTGTGTCTTACATTGGATTTCGATTTACTGTGTACTGTGGATTGTCTCTATCTATTAATAATCTTTACTATATTGAAAAGTGGAATCGTTAAGAACGATTTTTTTAATATATTTATTATTTATATATAATTTTAAACTTAAAAAATTAGTGATCAGAGCTTATGATTTTCATTATTCAATTACTTTTATTAAATTCTAAATAATATTTACATTCTATTATTGAAATGAACCATGTTAATCAGAAATTATTTATTTTACAAAATGAAGAAGATTTCACGAATAAATATAAAATTATTTTTAGTTGATGTTTTACAACTTAAAAATAAATAATGAAATGGCAGGTGCACGTACAAAATTACCAGTATTGGGAAAGTTAAGAACACGAAAAACCTATATTTTGCTTATCAGATTAACAAAATTTTTTAAAATCAGTATTTAAAACCAATCATAAATACAATCAAATAAAGTTTTAAAATATAAAAATATTTATTTCTACGAGTTGTATATATATATATTATCAAAATATATCACATTCGTTAACTTAATATATTGGGAAAATTGATGCCGGTGGATCGGATTTTTTGTGTTTTTTTTAGTACTGATTTTTCGTGATTGGATCGTACCAATAACTCGATTTTCTTATTTTGTTATTTTTTAAACCTTTATTTTTTTTTTTCAATACGTGGAGACATGATTCAAATTCACAACCTCTTAATCGAACATAGTATCTTAATCAATTGAGCTATGTTTCGATCGACGGATTTGAAATGTTTTATTCCGTATCTTATCTATCATAAAAATTATTATCTTTTTATTGTATACATTAATGGAACTACATATATTAAGTGATATGATTAAGCGTCAATTCAAACATAACTTAATTGATTAGAGTATATGTCATCGATGATAATGGATTCAAATTTCCACCCCTACCTACTGTAAGTGTACTAAAAATGTGATGTGAGTAATTAATACATAAATAAAAAAAACATGTCAACAAAAAATAGAGAAATTATACTCAAACCATAAATTTGATATGCAACTTTTCATTTTATTTTCCAAATATAGTATAAGAATGATTTTCCTTAATATCTTATTTGGATTGTATTTTGTTAATACAAATTTAATATATATCTCCTTTTGCCAGATTAAAAATACATTTTTATTTATGCTATTTGATTTAAATGCATCAAAATTGAAAGGTTAAGAAATCACTAATCTAAATTGGATGACAACTATAATATTCATAGGGTTATCATTTCATTTGAAATAGAATCAAGAAAAAGAAGAAGAAGAAGAAAGGTATTGTGTTGTTTTCTTTTAATCATACATACATCAATTCTTCAAGAGAGATTGCTTCAAAGAAAAAAAAAATTCCAGAGATTGATTACACGAATAATAAAAACAAAGAATCCTCAGAAATGAAGAACAAAAATATACATAAAATCAAAATAATTAATTATAAAAAATAAAGGAATTGAATTTTGATTTGGAAAAGATCGTAATTTCTCCCAACCAAGTATTTATCCTATTCCTTTCAAACTATTTATTCGTTAATTATAATATTTATTATGAATTTTTTTATTTTCATAAAATGTTTAGAAATATTCATATATTTTATTGATATTTTCATCGACACTTTTTTAAAATATGAGAATTTACCTTTTCCAATAGCCACAATTTGAAACTTTGATTTAATGAGGTAAGTTGGGGTAAATTTTTTTTATTTTTTAACTTTTTTTAACAACAGTTGGACAGAGATTAGAATTTTCATTTGTTAAAAAAGAAAAAAAAAAAAAGAGATTTATCCAGCACACATATAGGATGAATGATAGACAGGGTCGTACCAGATAGCATCTCCTTTACCCATCCACCGTGGTTACACAATTAACCACGGTTAAGTCCCGAGACCGGACCCTGCAGTATGCTCCAATGGGCCGCCGCACCGACCCGGAAAAGAACCGTATTACTTTAACACTAAACTCGACGGCGTTGAAGATTCCGTTTGGGTCAGTAGCATTAACATTTTGCAAACGTCCCAGCAGAAGACGACGCCGTAACGCGGAAATTGAGAGGCACGATGGGAAGATGGAAGGAGAGTCGTTGGATTGATGATGAACGGCGGAGAAAGCACGGGGCGTGGGATATTGATAATTGGTGTGCGATTCAATCTGTAAAATGAAAAATGAGGGTATAAAATTCCGTTTCTTCTAAGACGGGAGAAGCCGAGTTTTGTATTTGTTGAAAAGGAGGGACGAAGAAGAAGAAGAAGAAGAAGAAGAAGAAGAAGAAGCAGAAGAAAGAAGAAGAAGCAGAAGAAGAAGAAGTTCTCTCCAGTTCTTCGTGGCGCTCTTTCTCTACCCATCTGCGCCTATTTCCAATCTTTTTCCCTTTTCTTTCTCTCATTTTCTTCGGCTCTGTTGTTCCCCAATCAGGGGCGTAGTCCAGTATTCTGAATTCTAGTCTCAAATGCCGAGGATCTGTCATTTGTGAACAACCTCGCCGTCGAACAATTTTTGCTGCCTTTTTCTTACGAGCTACAGCTCAAAATTTCGCCGCCTTCTGGAATTGATCTGTCTCAGATTTTGAAAAGGAGAGGCGACTGTTCTTTATTATTTTTGTTTGTTCAATTTGTTTTTCACGGATACATTCGGGAATTCGGAGTGGATTTGATTTCCCTTTCGCTGCCTAATTTGGCTGATCGATTTCGTTTCATTTGTAATCATTGGAAGGAGGTCGTGAAGTTTACAGAGGTTTGGGAATTTGTGGGAAATCTTTTCACTGTGTTGTTAGTTATTTATGTTTAATGTTCTGGAATGACTCCATTAATTGTTTTCTTTATCTGTTTTTTTCCCTGCAGATGCATTTTTCGAACAGATTTTAACGTTTTTCTGAGGAAATCCGAACTGTTTTAGGGATTGGTGACTGCGTATTTATTGCCGATGGAAATACGATTGTTCTTTGATAGTGGAAGAAGAAAACTTTGAGAGATGGAGCGTCGTCGTTGGAATTTGGTTTCTGATTCGCATTTTTGCCTAGTCTGAAGACTAAAAGAAGCAAGCTTCGTCCAGATTTTTTTCTGTGTGGAGAAATTTCTTTGTACCACAGGTAAAGAAACTTTCCTGAATCGTAGATCGTATTTATTTAACTCGGATTTTGAGATTTAGTCCGGAAGTTTGATTTGCAGTTGTTTGTACTGTGGCTTCTTTCGTTTTCCCCCCATTTGGTGGTGGTGGTGGTTGGGGTCGGGAGGGTTCTTTTTGAAATCCGACTTCTGTTTGATTCTTCGTTATCTTCATCTCATGGGACCAATAGGCCTCATATGCTCTCCCCTTTTGATTTTGCGCACTGGTTTTTGTTTACTTCAGTTCAAGTTTTCAGGTAATGCATCAATTTTATTGACCTCCTTTACCTCCATCTTCAACTCTCTCTTTTGCTCAAAGTATTCTCTACTTCCATTATTCTTCTCGCCCTCATTTCGAAGAATCCGAGAATTTCTTTTATTCATGTGGTGATTGGGAATATCTTCTCTGGGTGGCTTCTCGAATTTCCATCTGCAGAACTGTTCATGGATGTGATTTCCCCCTTTCCTTTCGATGCCTGTTTGAACCACGTTCTTTGTTTCCAGAACATAAAGGGGGAAATTGTTGCCAAATTTTCCCAGTTTTTTTCTTCTTCTCTTGATAGATGTTGCCATTGCATTACCCACGATTGGATTCTGAGAAAACCGACTGATAATGGCTTAGATCTAATATCTTATTCACCAAAAAGGAAAAGATAACCTCCTCATTTTGATTCTGGCTAATCTACCTTTCCTGAATTCGATCTCATCTAATTAAATTCCCAGCAGAAGTTCTACTTTTCTTCTTTCCCCATCTCCAGCCCTCTCAATTATGAGTTATCTGAACTTGGAAATAAAATGATGCTCATCTTGTTTGCCTGTTTTGTTGTTGGTATCTCGTTTTCTTTTTCTATTAAACCCATGTGGGGGTTGATGCCAAATCCAACCCAATCTCAATTTCCCCTTTGCTCTACTTTTTGTAGCTTAACCATGGTTATTAAAGAAACTAACTTGGGTTAGGTTAGCTCGATTGCAGTTATTTAAAAGCCTGATGGAGAGGGATCCCCTGAGAAATAATAGTAGTAATAGCAACGGCACGGCCAACAACAAAGTCGACACATCGGGGAGAAGCGGAGGCGGCGTCGGCGGTGGCGGAGGAGGGGAGGGGTCGTTGCTGTTGAGATCGAATTGCGATGGTACGCGGCAGACGACGCCATCAGACTTCGTGTTGCAGTGGGGAAACCGGAAGCGGCTGAGGTGCATGAAGGTCCAGGGTAGAGACAAGACCGACCCCGCCGCCCCGGCTCACCGGACCACCGCCCGGGTCGACCGCCGAGTCGTTAGACCGGATAAAGACTCCCCGAACCGGACCAGTATCACCCATTCTCCTGCCACTGCCAATCATAATAATCACACCACCAATGGGTACTTGAATCTCCGTCAAAGACCCTCCTCCCCGCAGCTCCCCCCACCCCATCAGCGCATTCTCAGGTACCCTACATCACCCCCATCAAATTTATGTCTCATTATTGTAGCAATAATTAAAGATTTGCTTGTTTAAGATCTTATAGGAGGAGCATATATGATGTTAATAATGTAGTAACTCAATTTTGGTAGAGAATATGGGTGGGAGTTTTGATGGACAAGTAATGTTTATTGGGTAAAAAAGGGGCATTTTTTTTAAATTTTGTTTTTGGTGGACAGCTCTGTGTTGGCATTAGGTTTTAGTGTCCAATGGGAGCCGTGGGATCATTTAATTTGGGATTAGGAAAGGGTGGTCCCACAGTATAGTCACCTTCATGTCGTCGTCACCCGTAATGTTAAGCATGGCGATTGGCGATGGCGAAGGAATTTGTTAATCGCACGGCTCCAAGGAGGCCACATCTTCCATTTCAGCCCCATCTCCTTACTTTTCATTAAAGAAAAGAAATTTAAGAGCACCCTGGAAAAAGGCAAAGAAACAAAGCCAAAAGCCAAAATCAAAATCCTCTCCCCACATTCGCTACATCTCTCAGCGATCTAAGATCCCTCCCCCAAGGTCAATTTTGGAATTTGACTTCCTCTCTAAAATCCCACCCCTTCTTATTTCTTTTTTTCCCCCACGGCCACGAGTTTGTTTGTTTTTTTATTTTAATTTTTTTTTGTTGGTGTCAAAATCTTCACTAGTTTGTTATACGACTTAAAAGCGTGTCTTTCCCTTTTGTGTTTAACTTTTGTTTATTAGGAACTCGGAGGCGTCGGGGGCGATGAGAGGACACGGCAACGGAGGCGTCCGGGGAATTGCCTCGCCGGACAGAGGGGCGCACGATAGAAGAGGAAACCACCACCACCACAATGACAATAACAACAAATCCGCTGCCACATCGGACACGGCGCACGATAGCAAAAAGGGCGGATCTTCCTCCGGTGGCAGTGGAGAGGCCGCTCTGCCCCCAGTTTGGCCGCCAAAATTCGCGATTGCTTTGACCAACAAAGAGAAAGAAGAGGATTTCTTGGCCATCAAGGGCTCCAAGTTGCCCCAAAGACCCAAGAAACGAGCCAAGATCATCCAACGCACCGTCAACGTAAGCCCCTCAATTCCATTATCTTTGTTTCTTTCTTTTAATCTGCTTATTATAGTGTAGGAAGTAATCAAAAGGGGTTTTTCTAAAAATCATATTCAAGAAAAACCAGAAGTAAAATATTCATAAAAAACCCATCCTTGGAAGTAGTAGTAGCTAGCTAGTAGTAGTACAAAAGAACACTGCAGCTTTCACGGGCTGCGTTTGATTCACGTTCTTGTTATGTTATTGTATTGTTATGTGGGATAGGACACGATGTACGGTATTTTCAGGTTGGCTGCTCTGCTGTGCTGTTTAAATCACTCCCCTTGTCTTCTCGGCATTCTCAACAGATATGTTGTTTCTGAGAGAAGACGAAAACAAATTGGGGAGCCACAATTTCACATTTTTTTAAAAAACTAATTATCAAATACTTCTTTGGGGTTTCTCTTGAAGTGAAAAAAATTAAGATAATCCTGAAACCGACCAAGCAAGTTACCAAGTCGTCTTTGTTTTGGGGATTAAGATAAGGTTTGTTCGATGACTTCGGGAAAGTATCAAACAGTAATCTCATTGGCTATAAATATTAGGAAATAAGGCTTAAAAAGATGGGCTTTTTTTAAAAAGGGTTTAGTGGAGTAATTACTGGGGTAGGGTGAGGGATTGAGTTAATTGGTATTGGTACGAGTTGTAATTAAGAGAATAATAAAGAGGGATTGTACGATTGAAATGGAGGGTGCATCGGATGCCATTGGTTTCCCGCCATGTGTACGGTCACGATTGGTGGACTTTTGGATGGGCTCCCAACTTTAGTAAAGAGGTTGCTTTTTTGGGATTGGGCCCCAAAGCAGTTGGCTAGTGAACCCCACTCCAATCAATTATTATTTCACTTGATGACGAATAGTAGTATTAATTATTAAATGTGGGGGGGCTTTACTATAATCTTGATGGAATGTTGATTTTTTGCTTTTATTTAATGGGATTACGATTATAGTTATGAAGTTACATTTTGAAATGGGATTGCAGTTGGTGAGTCCCGGGGCGTGGCTATCGGATCTGACTCTCGAGCGGTACGAAGTTAGGGAGAAGAAGATTTCTAAAAAGGTGACTCCCTAACTATGACGTGTTTCGGTTTGTTTGATCAAGTTAATTGATTAGGATTTGTGATTGATTAATGCTTCTGGTTATTGATGGCAGAGACCGAGGGGGTTGAAGGCAATGGGTAACATGGAATCGGATTCGGAGTGAATTTGGTATCCTTTGGGGGATGCCATAAATGTACAAACTCTATGGTTACCCTTTTTTTTTTAATGGTTAGAAGAATGAAGGGGCAGAAAGAGAAAAAAGTAGGCAATTTTTTCTTTTGTTGGTTCCTTTTATTTCGCTTATTTATTTATTTATTTATTTATTCTATTTTATTATTCATCCTCTTGAATGTCTTCGTTTCACCATCTATGGCCTTTTAGGAAATGTGGAATTTGAAATAGGAAAACTCTAACAAAAAAGGGTTAGTTTAAGATGGAATAGTCGTTGTCCCGATCATTTAGTGTATGTTTTATTGTTAAAAATCGAGAAAAAAAAGAGATGAGTTTAACAGCCTGACTTTTATTTAATTTTCAATTAATGGGTTGTCTTGATTTGGTTTATGGCTGTACTAGTCGAACTAATTTAATTAAATTAAAATTTAGCAACCACTTATACTCCATTGCCGGTTTGAAGTAGTGTTGAAGCATTGTTCTGATGTATAATTATTTGTAAATTATGACTCCTTTTCCACCAAAATTCTATCTTCGACGAAAGAAATCCACAAATTCCACATTGCAACAAAATCACATTTTGCAACTCACATTTGTCCCTATTATTGCGAAAATGTTGCACAGAAAAAATATAATAATAATATTGCGAAAATTAAAAATTATCCAGAATGATCTTTTCGAAACTCGCAGAGGCATATAGAGACATGCATCGCACAACCAGCGATGCAGTCATTATTATTATTATTATTATTATTTATTAGTTTATTGGCCACTCGACAAAACGCGTGATTCGTTCAAAATATCACATGCGACGTGGCGATATACTACTGGATGCCCCACTTAGATGATTTTATGCGTATCCAAGCACGTGGCAACACCGCTTTACTGGGGCCAGTCACCCAACTCCAAAAATTACGGTTAACCCACCAGCTTGGTTTTTTTAGTAGGTCGGCACCCAGAAACTTGGTTTAGTGAAATAAAGATGTGAAAGAAATTACGTTTTCTAAAGACAAAATTAGGTATATATATATATTTTTTATAATGAGAGGTTTACCTAAAAAATATTTTTAGAAGGCTGGTAAAAGGTGGATGATAATATTGAAATTAGATATTTTTTAAACAAAAGACAAATTTCAGAAATATCTTTTATTATTTATCAATTAGTTACGGCTGTTGAAGAGGACAGGAAGTTGAACTGGGAGTGGAATGGAACAACATTGGTAGGGAAGTTCAATTTGAATTTATTGTGATTTTTTTATTTTAAATGAAAAATTCTTATAGTAATATATTATCAGAGAATTTCGATCAATTGACTATAGTCTTTGATGTGGTAATAATTCCAATAATTTTCTTAAGAGACCATTTTAGTTTTTAACTTCTACATATATTTTTCTGAATCACTACAAGTAAGAGAGGGGTATTGTCCACACATTCCTTCTTTGTTCCATATCCCAAAACTAAAAAACAATTATAATTTGGTAGAGCAAAAGCTCCGGTAAAAGGTCCAAGATTCGACCAATCCCAATTCCATATTGTTTGAACTTAACAAACAAAAAAAACAATTATAAGTGAGACGATAATGACAGTCCACCAGAGACGACCCCTCCATGTTTCGCTTAAGATTCAATTCTAGTCATTAACACGCTAATGATACAAGAGAATGGGGCTGTGTGTTTACTTCTTTTTTCTTTTCAAATATCTGTTAATTAATTTGCTGTGTCTTCTGAATGGAAAATTATATATTCTGAAATTCAAATAACTCAAGACTTTTAAGCCACATAATGGTTGTTCTGTTCCACTTCCAATTGAAGGAGTAATAGAGTAGAAAAGAGGAGATATTCATGAAACAGAGTACAGAAAATTGAAATAACTTATTTACTAGAAATAATGTCGATATATAATTATAAAAAATAGCAATGAGAACACACACAATGAATACAGGAATTCAAACCAGCAGTATCTAGTAAAAGCCTAATCAACACCGAGAAGCATGGCCTATACACTCAATATAATAGTCAATAAATCAAATCCCTCCTCGAGCATCATAACTGAACAAATGGCTAAAATCACAAACGCGTACACCTATCAATGGTAATTTCAAGCTTTAAGGGCAGATCCGAAGACGAGAGCGGCGAAAGCAGCGACGCAACCGAAGCTCAACGACGGTACGACAGAGGTGGCCGGAGAAGCTGGCGCGGGAGCGGGAGGCTCGACGGATTGAGCGGCGGCGATGGAGAACACGGCGATTAGAACGGCCACAATGGCGATGAAAGAAGCCCTGGAGACGGCGGCCATTCCGGAGGAAGTTTTTAGGGTTTGGAAAGAGAGAAAAAGATGGTAGAGCGAAGAAAATTGAGAGTGGAGAGGAAACTTTGGACAGCGGAAAAGGGAAGGGCAGTGGCTGTATATATAAAGACAGAGGGCGGCTGAAAACGAGTGGAGGAGGGAGGAATCGGGCAGGGCGGGCAGCTGCCCGGAGTTTACGAGCTGGCCATTGGTTGAGCGACAGCTCATTTTCCTGGTTCGCCAGTCACAGATGGGTGGATCACCCACCGTCCACATTCTTCTTTCTTTCAGCTACCTAACGTCGTCGTTTAGCCTCGAGGTGTTCAGCGAATCGGACGGTCATCGCGCGGGGTAACGAAATGGATCGGACGACGAGGGGTATGGGCGTGAGGCACGCGTACTGTGATGGCGCGTGGGGAAGTGGACGTGGCGAAATTACCAACTACGGCGAAATTGTTGAACTGCTGAAACGTAAGCGTAGCTCCAAAGTGGGGAATTCATATTGTTGGGGCCCACCGTACCAAACGAATAATGCGAGAGAGCCAATGCAAATGAAACGCGTGGCAGTGAGGGCAAAAATACAGGTTGTCTTTGGCCAAAAATGGGGCGGGTGTATGATTGAGCCCTGAGGCATGGTCCTTGTGAAATTGCTCGGTTATGCAAATAACATACCATGACTTTTTACCGGTAAATGTAATTGAAAATATATCTCAATTATCATTAAATTATTCTTATTTTGACTATCAATTATATGTTTTAATTTCTAATATTGATATTTTCAGAACTTCAATCATCTAGTGATTTAAAAGTATGAAATTCAATTAAAAATAGAGTTATATTATACGTTTTCAGTCTTTTCGAATATGTGTTAAATATCATATTTAAAAATTGAATCTGAATTTAATACTACTAACATAAGTTGGTATAATTGAAATTTACTAAAATACAATGAACTAAATCATGACTTTTTAAATAATAGTAACTAAATTGAAAAAGTAACCCAACATAGGACAACATAATATATTTAGCCAATAATTCATAAATAAGTAATTATATGTAATTCTGATTGATAAATGTTAATTAATGAAAGTAGGTGGTAATGCATATTATAATAATAATAATATTTTTTAGTACCATGTTACAATTAATAATTACCTACATATCCTTTTATCATCTAAAGTTTGCTATTAAATAATTGCAATAACTTTTTATTATAGAGAATTTAGAAACATTATGAACGCCTGTGAAGAAAAAAAGAAAAAAGAAAGAAACATTGTGAAGGAATTTTAAAAATTACAAAATTATCAAGGACAAGGATATATTTAGCTAGTCCGTCAACTTCAATTGAGAATCTGGGGTTTGCTCAAAAAACCAAAATTAGATCAACATAAAAATAAACTTAAGAATAAATTAAACATTTAAACGTAAACTCCAATGGGCTGAAAATCCCGGTCTGAACCACAAACTTGAAAACCACCAATGGAGGAAATCTTTGCGTCCGTTGATTTTCTTCTGCAGCTGTAGAATTCCATACAGTAACGCCTCTGCCGTAGCTTGATAATATCCACCGCCATTGGTGCAGCTTCCCTTCGAGATAATAACCCACCAAGGCTGTGGAATTTGGTCATAAACCCTGTGGAGGAAGAAGATAGAAGATAAAAATAATTGCCATTTCCTAAACATGGCTAAACTGGTTAAGAAACCTATTTCCAACCAAAAGATCGTGAACTCGAATCCCTACCCTCACACGTTGTACTCATACCAGCGATATCAATATGCAAAATTTAAACTTCCAGACGATTCACACGAGATGGAAGATAAAATTATATGCATATCTAGACTGAGATCCATATCAAAACATTAAACTTCACCCCAAACATTGTTGAACTGAAATTTTGTTTTAGAAAATATCATAACTAGTGAGAAAGATTGCATCAGTCCACAATAGTAGCTAGTAGTAGTAAATTAACAATTAACCACAGTACAGGACAAGCAATAATAAGAATCCATAGCTATTCACTTACACATTTCACATTCACATCTACCCACCTGCAACAGCACAATATGTCAAAAGAACCCCTAATCAAAGAGGATTTGATGAAATAAAAAAATGGTTGTATGTCAATATCTTTATAAAGACTACAGCTCTGGCTTTGACTGCAATTATACATTGGAATGAAGATGTTGTAAAGAGTATAAGATTATCCTCTAGTATACTCATTCAAGGCCACTTCACTACCATGGATAACGGGCTAGAGTAGAACATGATCCAAGTAATCATGCAAACAGAAAGTAAATTACGAAGAAAGAAAGCTAACTTGCGAAGATTTAGAGCTAGCTCATGAGGTCATGAACATTAGAGATCAGAACTGTGCCGCCATTGGAAGCCGAAGGAGGAGCTGGCCGACGGCCGTGGCCGTGCACTGCATACGGCGTCGGAGATTGGAAAAGCCTTCTGTCGAGCAAAAGCTGGGCCAACGTTTTTGCTCTTTTCCAGCCCAAAATATTTCAAGTTATGGGCCTCACGATGGCCCCTTCCAAGAAACAGATTCTTCATCTCAAATTTCAGTTTCATAGCAAACAAACAGCAGAGCTTGATCAGATTAAAAAACACATTTCTTTTTTCCAAAAAGTCGTGCGCATTTGGACGCTTGTCGCTTGGAATGTTCGCAAGCAAGCGTGACCACTTCTTTAAAAAGTGCTTGTCATGTGCACACAACTTCAAAAATCGCTTTCTTTGAAAAAGGAAAACCATCACATTTGCTTCTCTGCATCTGTATTCTGCATTCTGCTCTACACAACATCTTTCATTTATTTAACACTCTCTTCTCTTCAATAAGATATTACATTTCGAAACACACCTCCACTTCCATATTCTATCAACATTCAACACCGAATTTTTTGTATCGTCTTTTGGGTTAGTCAGCTGCCTTGTGTTTGACAACATAAAAAAAAATGAAAATCTGAGAATCCCATCTCCAGATAATTAGTGTTCATCCGTTGCCTACTATGTGTGTATAGATTAGAACTCTACTGCCCATGCCCTGCTTCTCTATTCTCCTCATTTACCAAATTATTCTTCAATATCCAAAGAATTCCTTTGCTAAATGTAGCAAAGGCTGCAACGAACTCGGTGCAAACTTTCTCGCGAAGAGATAGCAAACAGAGGAGGCGTGGTCGTTGTAACTGCAGTTCTGACCCACCAAAACTCTTTCCAAGAACTCTTCTTTGATGTCGTGTCCTCCGAATGTGGCGGGGTGAGCGCCTCCTCTGGACCAATCCACCCACGTGAGGCTTCTGTTGGCTAAAACTTCTCCAGCTTCTATTGTGAGCATGGTTGGAAAATAGTGCTCGTCGACGTAGCATGGCGGTCTACAGAATTGTTCGAATTTCTGGTAAAATTTGGTGTCCTGCACTATGTCGAGTGCGAGCTTGCGGTTGACTTCAAACCACTGGGAGCCTTTACGCCATTCTGTGATGTTCACCTCTGGTGCCATGTAAGACCTGTATCGTCCTCTACCGTAAGGGCCAAGGTCGTCGAACGAACCCACAAAGCTATATTTGGATTTCTTCAAGTAGTTGTATATGACACCAAAATCATAGAGAGGAATGCACGACTCGGAGACGAGAATGAACCACTTGTTGTTAATGTCGAGCAGCGCATTGGCTAGGAGTCTTTTCTCAGCGTCGCACATACTCATTCTTCCCCATTCCGCAATCTGGCCAAAATAATCAACAGATATGCATCACAAAACTTGGTGGGTTAACTGGAGTTGAGGATGATCACAGGGATTACAGATAAATAATATGGCCAGCACTTAGAACCAAAGTTATCAATTTTGGATCGTAGTTCATAAACTTTGTCTACCATAATATGCAGAAAGAGAGAGAGGATAGAAAAAAGATGTTGAAAACACACAAGTTCAAATTTTTAAGTCAACGATTTAAAAAGTGAAACATTCTGGCCATAGGTTTTCATTTCTCCAATGAAAACTACTAGTTGAACACAAGATTTTCAAGGGTGTTTGTTCACGTTCACAACGATTTTTCCTATCCATTCCAAATCCTGATTAATACATATCTTAAGACTTGGGAGGTTGAAAATGGAGTCGGGATATTTCAACTGCTCCTGCCCTTAAACAGATCGAATTTGCTAGGTGTTTTGTGGATAAAATTCTGATCAACAATCCTAGCTCGAGCATGTAAGCGTGTATGGTACATATTCAGAATCCATTTTACAATTCTAATTACAATCAGAAGCCCATTCAACAATCATTCTGACCATTTGACATGTTAAAAACAAGGGAATAAATACTGATTTCAACTTATTATATAAAGAACAGAAGCACCAGCAGTTTAAAGAATAAGGCGGCACCAAAAAATGATTCTCAATAGAGCTCATAAGGAAATGATTGGTTCAAGCAAGCAAACCCATCACAAAACAAGCTTCAATTAGAAATGGGAAACCACAATTTGAATCAAAATTTATTCTGAACCAAAACGCACCTGGCTGGGAATTTGTCTCCCATGAAACGCAGAAGCACGTGTAAAGTTGGGCCTGAACGAAGGCAGAGAATGAATGTAAATTGAAAACAACTCTTCATGTCCCTTCAGAAATCTCTCCCAGAGTGGAGCAAGCGGCAATGGCCCTTTAGTCAAGAACATAAAGGCAATCTTCGGAACCCTCTTGAAAGGGTAGTTTCGAATCCGAGGAGCAAACGAGGCTCTCCAAAACAACTCCTCGTCGGTCATGGCGTGCGTCAAATCCGCAGGAGCCTTAATCCACTGACCTAAACTAATATTCGACGCCTCAAAACAGGGAAGGAAATTGGCCTTCGCCGTCGTCACAGCGCTCTCAATTCCAAAATGACGGATCATATATAAACTAACAATCGAAAATGCAACGCAAAGAAGCAGAAACAACCCGAATAGCTGAAGTAACCTCAAGGGCAACGGCCTAGCTTGGTTCGTCCGGCTCACAGGTCCAGGGTCTTTACCTTCCTCCAATGGCAGAACTCTGGATTGCATCTTGATTAGAATCGAAATCAGCCTTTTGGGGCGCTACCCTTCAATTCCACGCCGATTATCGGCTTTTCTCCTCGCACCCAACGAACCAGAAATCCTAATTTTCATCTGCCGGAGGGAAGAGCGGGCCGAGAAAATAGGAAAATCGGTGAAATATTGGAATCTCGTGAAACTGAAACTACAATCAGAACATCAAACAGTGGCGATTTGGGGAGTGCATGGTGGGTTATGAAGAATGAAGAAGACCCAGTTGAGGGATTGATCAGCGGCGGCGAAAGAAGTTGGGCAGAGAGCAGAAGAAGAAGAAGAAGAGTGGAGAGGAGTGGGAAAGTTGATGGTGAAAGCAAAGGAATGCAATTAAAGAAAGAAAGAAAAATGATGTGAGAAAATTTGAAGAATGTCTCTGTTTTTGCAGAATTTGCGGACACGCAGATTGGAAGGAATGGCGCTTGCCAGTTACGTCAATGGCCGTCTGTTGTTATGAATTATGATTGGGATTTCCATATGAACTCTCCACTTTACTTTTCTTCTTGTTTTGGTTACTTTGCCATCGCATTCTCTCTTGCTTCCCTCGTCCCTTTTATAAAACAAAAATAAATAAATAAATAAATTTGAAAATTTTGAAATTAAAAATTTGGAGAGATATATTATAAAGTAATTTGATGATTTTTAATTTAGATTAAGATTGTTAAGCAATAATTGGCCTACATAGACAAAATCAAACCGGTTTAGTAATCATTTTTAGTTTTCTATTTTTAAAATGTTAAAAAATTGAATATATTAGAGATGGAAAATTATATGTAGACTAAAGATAATAATGATGTATGATCGAGAATAAATATGTACTCTCTCATTTTCGTGGTTGTGAAAATTTTTCATCCACCGTCTCCACTCCATTCTTCGACTCGAGAATCAAGATTCATGAAAAATTACCGTTTGTAATTGTTTTTAAATTATTTTTAGAATTTAAAAATAAAAAAACGTAATAAATATATATTAATTATTTTTATAATTATTATTTAGTAGTATAAATAATTGGTTTTAAAATATATTTAATATTTTATTCCAAATTTAGTAAATATGTTAATAAAATGTATATTAATTATTTAAAAAATAGAATTGGAGATCGGGTTGGGACATGCATTTACACAGGTAAAGACATGAAAATACAAGTTTAAGAGATGAAAATAAATTTTTTAAAGATAAATTCTAGAGAGATGGAAAAAAGATATTGAAAATAAAAATAGTGAAAGAAAAGAAAGACAAAAAGATAAAAATTTTAGAGAAAAAAAAAGTAAAGTTGAGAGAAAAATATATGTTAAGGAAAAAATTAGAAAAAAATAACATTAAAAAAAAGTAAAAAAGAAGTTACAATAAAAGAAAATTGAATAAGAAAATAAATATAATTTTGAGAAAAATGAATTAGGAAGAGAAAGAAAATTTATTAAAAAAAATTATAGAGAGAAAAGTTCATGAAATTATTAGATTTTATAAAGATAAACGAGTTAGCAAAAAAATAAAATACATAAAAATACATAAAAGATGAAAATTGTAGACAAAGAGAAATAATAACAAATATTCAAAATGTAAAAATGTTAGAGAAAGAAAAATAAAATTTATTAGATAAATTTAAGAAGACAAATATTTAAGAAAGAAATTTGTTAGAGATAAATATGTCAAAAAAATAGAATATTAGAAAAAAAATGAGATTGCCTTTCTTAAAACTTGCATAGAATCCAGTTTCGTTTTCAAAAACATAAAATATAAAATTAAATGGAGCTCTATTTTACAAAAGTTAAAAATAAAAAATAATAAACGAAATGGTCATTTTTTTAACTCATAATTTTTTGATCTACGTTGCGGCTGTATTTTTTCATTTAGATATTAAATCATTGAAAATCTTTTTTTTCTCTTTTTGAGAAATAAATCATTTAAAATCTTAACCATATTAGGTTAGACACTTATCAACTATATTGAAATAAAAAAATTAGGAATACTGTTAAGTTCAGTGATAAAAAACTGATCAATGACCACTTATGTTTCGTCCCATCAAAATGTGTAACAGCTAACAAACAAATAGAAATATAAATAAAAAGAAAATTAAGTTAGCTCTTGTCATCTCTATCTTCTCTTTTTTGGCCAACTTAAATATTGTCGACTAATTAAAATATTATATATTTTTGGATCTTATTGTTCATTCTCGCCATGTTGAACTTTATTTTATTTTATTTTCAAGAGAATATTGTGGAATATGTAAATAAATAAAATTTAATGCATCACTTTTATGCATATCATATAATTAAAGTTTCTTTAATGATTTTGGTAACACAATACGTAATTGGGGTAGGTTCGTGTATAATTAAGCATTCAATAAAGATTTAAATAGCAATAAACTTACTGCACGGAATACTAATTAATGGATGACTTTTTTTTCTGACTTTTTAGTTCTTAACCTTCAAAACTCGATTCTTCTAATTATAGTTTAATTTAAAATTTAGTTAATATTAATAAATATACCATTTAATGAGTCGATTCTAAATTTCAAGTTGTTATTTAAAAAAAAAAAGAACAATCAATCAAATTACCAAGAGATCGAAATTGAATTTAAAATGTATGTCTATAATTCTTAATTTTCACATTTGAGAAGAGAGAGTATAAAAGTATAAAAGATTGAGTTGCCATTTTAGTTCTAATAGTTTGTATTTTTTAGTATGGTTTTAAAGTTTAAATTTAATCCCAATTATTTAGTTAAAATCTCAAAATATTTCTAAATTTATCAAATCTCAGACAATTTTTTAATGGACACGTTTTCCAGTTTTCACAACATTTAACCCAGGATACATCACATGTTTGAAAAGTACACATGTTATGTACTACAATTGTGAACTTTTTAGGAAATTTAATATTAGAAATATCAAAAGTTATAAGAACTAAATTGAAACCAAACGTAAACCCATAATTTAGACAAAGATGAAAGATGAAATTTTGATGTTGGGATCGTGGGTGCAGACGGACGATATTTTAGTAGATAAATCAAAGTCTTAGATGATGAAAGAATCATCGTACCAAAAATCATGGGGTGGCTCATTGATTTAAAGAGTTAAGATAATTAAAAATAATTATGTTCCTATCCTAAAAAATTAGTCGATGAATTTAATCACTCAGAAAACGAAAAAAATAATGGAAACGAGAAGGGCGACATTATCAAGGAAGTGCTGTACTCGATCAACGCTTGTCTGTACATACATGGCCCACCAAGCCGGTAACGATAGTTTCAATTGTACCATAAAATATGATATATATCATGCTATATTTAATTTAAAAGAATAAAAAGTTTCTGACATTTAAAAAATTCGTATTAACTTTATGCATGGAGTGAAATTCCTATATGAATCAATTGGTCCCGCTCCTCAACATCGAACCGTTGATCTAGAATTCAATGGTTCAGATCTTCTCTGTAGTTTTTTTTCCTTTTAAAAAGGAATATGTTTTTTCAATGGAATATTTTTTAAAGCAGTAAAGCGACATACGGGTCCGTTTTTCGTTAAAAATTTATTCGATTACAGCGTAGCTTTGCTTTGGGTACTCCACTTTTTGCTTTTTTATATAAAAACAAATTCGTTTGCTGCTAAATTAAAAATACTTGTAGCAAAATAATATTAATTTAAAAAGAAAGACAAATGGGCCCACTTCATTTCCTCTTTTAATTATAACCAGACGATGGGAATTGTAATTTTCAAGTTAAAAAGAAAGCTAATCCCCTAAATAGGAACCGAATGAAAACGACGTCGTAGCTTTCTTCTCAACCTCGAATACATATTACATCTGGCCTCGAGGTAGCATTGGGCTTTCGAAGGCCCATTTAAACTCCGAGGCCCGTTTTTAAATATTATTCAAGAATAAATCAGTACGTATTGGTTTTCTTAAAAAAAAAAAAAAAAGATTAAATAGTCCTTACTTATTTCTTACTTTTGTCATTGAGAAATCAATTATACTTAAATCTCTTTTTCCAGAATAATTAATTCTATCAACACTCTCAAACATATCAATTCTTGCAGTTAGCTAGACATGAAGTAAGTATTATCTACATCACCGATGACTAACACTAACACAAGTCTTGAAAGTATACCACTTTACAACACTGTGTAAAAAGAACGAATAATACTTTTTATTTCTTATGGAAGGTAGAAAATTACAGAAAGAGACATAAGTGGTTGTGTCTGGTTCCCTCACCTTCCAAAATCAAAGCTTGTTACACAAGAGAAAACTGTGGTTAATAAAGCAATATGGGGTAAATTGATAGATGAGTTACCAAGAAATATAATGGATTCAATAATTTTGCTGGCATTTCCTATTCTGCCATTCTCATTATTATTATTATTATGTTTCTCTTAATTCTCAGATTCAGTTTTAACTTCCAAATGGATGTACATTCAGCCACCTGATGACTTGGCAGAATCGGATTTCGTGTATATATATTTGGCTTCTCTTGGCTCTCTATTTCAAACCAGAAAAGGAAAAAATAAAAATCGAAACTTTTTGGTATTGGGGGAAATGGGGAAGAAAAATGGAGTGATTTTGGTGGCAGTGGCATTGGCTGTTGCTGCCATTTTAGACGATGCTGCAGCAGCAGCCAATATGGGGAGGAATTCAGAAGGAAGAGAACAAAATTCTATGGAGATTATTCAGAAGAAGTTGAAACTTCTGAATAAGCCTGCCATCAAGACCATCCATGTATTCATTTGATATTCCCATATTTGTTTAATTTGTTAAAAGTTTAGAAATTAATTACCCAGCTAATTTATGTTTAATTTGCAGAGTGAAGATGGAGATATTTTCGACTGCATTGACATTTACAACCAGCCTGCCTTTGACCATCCAGCTCTAAAAAACCATACCATTCAGGTTCACTTCTAATTTCATCTCTCATTTCTCATGTATTTTTGTGCACATTTTGCTAACACGTGTGTTTGGAAGTAATTTTGTCATTGTCAAAATCGATTCCGTTAAATATTAGGGTGTTTAGCCATCATATGTAATTTGTTTTTAAAAATGGCTAAACTCCCAAACATGCCCTTGATCTTGAGAAAATAGCCCTCTAAATTTATCTAGGTATATTAATTTTTCATTTTACACTTTCAAATTTAATCAAATTGAACTCCATAATGAAACAAATTCACTCGAATAAATCTTAAAAAATTCATGCATTTTAACAAAAAAATACGACTTTGATGTCATATTCCTAGCAACTTTTATAATTTATTGAATACATGTGATAATATATTTTTTTAATAAATGTTCATAGGTCGAGAGGTAAAGTTTCAACACTAAATCAAATATTACTCTTCTCATTAGTCTAAAGTCTAAATTTGATAAAATTAAAAGTTTATAGTAAAAAATGATTTATTTTTATGTGTAATATTTTATTCATATTATATTTATTAACAACCTTCCTCACCTGGTAAAAATATGGAAATTAGAGAAAGTCTAACAAACAATTATCAATATTAATTAGTAGAAATGACGTTAAAGGAGTTCAAATACAAATGATACCATGTTGAACATAATGACCACGTAATCCAAAATTTAAAGCAGATATGTTACAATAAAATCTGATCTTTGTCTATATGCTTAACACTCACATGCAAGCAGATGAAACCCAATTTCGATTTTGAGTCGGACATGTCGACCGCACAAAACGAGTCGTTTCGATCCATTCCATTTCAAACATGGCAAAGAAGTGGGAGTTGTACCGAAGGAACGATTCCCATCCGCAGGGTTCAAACACAAGACTTATTGAGAACCAATTCTATAGATGATTTTGGGAAGAAATTTGCTTATGGGAGCAAACTCGGGGCAGAAATCAATCGTTCTGTAAGCCAAAAAATTCAAAAAACCAACTTCTCAGATGATTTTTCTGGCTGTTTTACGTTTTAAAAATTTCGTGTCATATATATCACAGACGGCGATCTTAGTTACAGCAGGAATGAACTACATCGGAGCATCAGGAGATATTAACGTTTGGAACCCTAAAGTTGATTTGCCAAACGACTTCACGGCCTCTCAAATATGGCTCAAAAATGGACCTTCTGAAAAATTTGACAGCGTTGAAGCTGGCTGGGTGGTTCGTGCGTTTTAATAATGATATAACTATCCTAATTAACAAGCTAATTTGATTTTCAATTTTCTTAAATTGTAATTAATTTGATTGTTACAGGTGAATCCCAGGTTATACGGAGATACAAAAACTCGATTTAGTTTGTATTGGACAGTAAGTAATTTTGGGAGAATTAAAATTTGAATTTTAGGAAAAGAGAAGAGAATTATTAATTTGATTTGGTGAATTTGGGGGCAGGCGGACTCGTACAGCTCGACAGGGTGCTTTGATCTAACTTGCAGTGGATTCGTCCAAACTAACCCGGGTGTGGCCATTGGTGGAGCCATCGAGCCATTGTCCAGCCGCGGTGGACAACAATTCTTCATCTCTATTGGCATCTTCATGGTATCCTCTTTAACTTCATAACCCTTCTTTAATTCTCTCACTCTCTCTCTTATTTTTCTAAATATTATTCTCCAAAACTTTTCATAATTAAATTTACCAAACGAATGAATCTAAATATTGTACTTATGCAGGATCCAAAGTCAAGCAACTGGTGGCTAAAGATGCAAGGAAAGCCGGTGGGGTATTGGCCGCCGGCGCTGTTCGGGTATCTGAGCCACAGCGCGACGCTGGCGGAATGGGGCGGCGAAGTTTTCAGCTCAAACCTGAAGAAAACGCCGCACACCGGCACGGACATGGGCAGTGGCGATTACGCCTCCGCCCGCTACGGCGACTCCAGCTTTGTGAAACATCCCAGAATCCTTGATTATTCGCTGCAGTTGAAGTACCCCCAGCGAGTCGGAGTTTGGGCCGACGAACCGTCTTGCTACTCTGCTGAAAATTACCAACGAACATACACCACCGAACCGGTATTTTTCTACGGCGGCCCGGGTCTCAGCCGCGACTGCCATTGAATCTCGACCCTCCGTTTTAAACACATCATTTTCATAATTAATAAAAATTGTTCAGTTTGGGCCTGCATTTACTCGGTCGGGCCCAATAATAAGGTTGCGCTTTAAATAGTTCTAAGATTTTGGAGGATTTTGACCATGTAATCAAATATAATCCAAAGGTTTTTTACTACTTAAAAAACTATTTTTCACTATTTTCAAAGTTATACTAAGCTTAAGCTCACTTTTAATGGATGATTTTAAAAAAAAAAATAATGTACTAAAATTTTAAACTTTTTTTTAATAATGTAAATAAACATTTAAAGGAAATAAACCGTTAAGAATATTGAATAAATCAACCTAAGGAGTTCTTTTAATTTAAACTAAAATTAAAATAAATAACTTTACAATACGTCAAAATTTTAAATAATTTAGAGTTGAATGATGGATGTCTTTTTAGTTATCCATATTTCTTGTTTGTCGTTTTAAGTTTTTTAAAAATTTTATAATTTCTATTTTGATTGTAGTTTTTTTTCTATTTTATCTCGATTTAAAAACTATAGTCCAATTCAAAGAGACTTTTTTTTTTCAAAATCAAAAAGATTTTGAATTGAGGAAACTCAATTTCAAATTGGCATTCTAATGCAATGAAACCAAAATAGAATTTTGTAGGGGGAAATTAAAGTTGAAAAAAAACACACACACAAAGTGAAGAGAATAGAAAGAATTTGTTTTTCACGCGGATGCCACTTAAAATAAACTTTTCTTCAAAAAAAAAAAACACAAATTCATAATTAGAAAAATAATTATTATTTATCACTCCCTACTATAATTCCGCAAAACAAGCTCAGATGAAAAATAAAAAGTTTAAATCATATTCTAATTCTTAAATTTGTATGCTTACTTTTATTTGATTCTTAAACTATCAAATATTCTATATTAATCTTTAAAATTTGCCTGGACCAAAAAAAAAACTATTTTAATATTTGACTTTTATTAAAATTTTAAATTATTTAAACGAATTTTAATGTAAACATATATTTTGTTAATTTATCTGATCAATATTATAAGCTACTTGGAATAGGTTAGAGTCTATTTGATAATATTTTATATTTCTTGTGTTTTGTTTTTCATTTTCAATTTTAGAAACATAAGCATTTTGTAACCATTAATTTTCTCATTTGAATGAACGTTTATAAAATTGTATAGAAATTTTAAAACAACTTTTTTTTTCGTCTCTGTTCTTATTCATAATTTCTTTTTAAATCATAAATAAAATACTATCCTATGATTCTTAATTTACAATACATATATAATAAATATTAAAAACTGTCAATAAAAAGAAAATAAAAACAGTAAATAAGAAATTGTTTCAAGGGAACGATAAACATGAAGTATAAAATGATAAATATTAAACCGTTATCAATGAAACAGAAAAACAACAATCATAATATTTGAATTTTGAAAGTCATAAGAATTAATAAGAAGAATATTTGTCCAAAATTATTAAATGAATTGAAATAATTAACTAAAAAATTGTAAATTCGAATATCGGAGGTGGAACAATGAGAGGAAGATTTATTTAACAAATGTATGAATTGTAACATAAAACGAGAGACACGATCTTTCACAAAGCAAATAGAGGTGGGAATGAGACAAAGATGTCTGACTGTTGTCTGAAAATAACATTGGGCTTGGACAAAGGCCCACTTATCCATATTATGCCCTCAAAATTTGTCCTTTTTTTTTTCCCTTTTGCCAAGAGACACATGTGGTAGATCAGATAAGATCGGACGGACGTGGTTTGTGTCTCTTGTTTGGTCACGAGATTGCATATCCATAAATTGGAGGTTCGAGAGTCGTATTCCTGGTTGAGGATCATTCGACTTTTGTATCCAACCAGGTTGAGAGGGCGGGCCGCATCATTTTCAACGAATATTTGATGCTGACTTTCACACAACACATCAACAAACGGACTCGCCGAGTAAACAAGATTCTTGGATGTTGTTTGACAGATCTTCCTTTAACAGTTATATATTATTTTGTAGCATTAAAAATTAGTTGATATTTCGACATTTCTATGCTTATATTTACTGTAGTATTACAAAATAATTTGATAAAATATTAAAAAAATATCAGTAATATACACATAATATTAATATTAATCATTTTCCTGTTAATTTAAATATTTGTTACGAATTTTATATTTTTATAACTTTTTCATAAATATCCTTCGATATCGACATTTTATCAATATTTTAATAAAATTAAGATCTCAACATTGCTATTAACATCGACATTTAAGACATTAGTTAAATTGCATAGTTAATTTGATATTTTAAGTAAGACTTAAGAATTCAAGTGGACAAAGCGAGCATAGCTCGGTAATTGACATATATCTCCAACCAAGAGGATGTGAGTTCGATATCCCACCCTGCATGTTGTACTAAATGAAAAAAAAAAAGGAATTTAAGTGAAGGGTTCTAGGAAGTTTGAGTTTAGAAAATAGTGTTTATGCCAATAAATTAAGAAGTTTTGGATGAGATAAGCTATGTGTCATTATTTAAGTTCCGTTTGAGAACTATTTTAATATTTGTGAATAGTGTCCGAATCAATTTACATGTACTTCAATTAATTTCATGGGACACTTACTTGACTCTAGTACATATGGTTGTCAAATAAATACTACGATCATCATTAAATTTAAACTCATTCATTCTAAATCATATTTGGCTTATCTTAACCATTTTAGACCAATAAATCAATTTATTATAGTTTCATGAAAATACAATTAAAACGTATATTGACTAAAAGAAGGTATCCAATAATTTAACCTCATCTACATCCTTTATGTTGAAGCAAACGAGGAACAATGAATTAGAAAATTTTTGCCTTTTTGGAGAGGAGGACCCCACCCCACCCCAAGTGGTGCTATTGTGGGCTCTCTCACTCTCTTGTCTTGACCATATCCGATCCTGTCCTCTTCAAATCTTACACATTGCGGATTTTATAATTTATCACCAAAAAAAGGAAAATGCAACTGCCCAACTCCTTACACAAACATTAACACACACACACACACACACAAATAAAATTAAAAAAAAAAGATTTTTTCCAGATAAGGACGCCTTGGCCTTGGAGTTGGTGAGTAATCTAATTTTGCAACTTAAATTTTCCATGTCACAAACCTTATCTACATCCCTCTCTTCATTTTCACGCACACAAATTCTAGGCCCCCCCCCAAAAAACATCCTCTTTTGGTAACATTTGTTATCGGAGCGGACAAATTAGAAGATCATTTCAAGTGAATTTTGATGAGTGATTTGACGGTGAGATGAGGCTAACAAGAACTCAAGAAGAGAGATTTTTTTACTTAAAATTCGAAAATATGATTACAGTTAAAAATTAAATCAAACCCCAGCCGACAACCCTTCTTATGTACTTACTTCTGCAGCCCTAAAAATCCCATCGTTTCATATGTACAACAACATATAGACAGACATCATCCCCTTTTTCAATTCTGAACCACAAAAAAACAGATGATACCATCGCACTCCTTAATTTCTTTCCCCTGTTAATCAAAACCCCCCTTACACGCTGAAAATTCAAGAAATCCACCAAAATCAGTATTCACAGACTTAAAGAAAAGAAACCCCAAAAGGCCACCGATTTCGAATCAAAATATGTTCTTTTTTATTTACTTTAGTAGCTCCGAGACCCACCCGACATCGGGTGTCAGCTGCTCCACCGAGTTGTCTTTGCTCAGTTTCGCATACATTTTGGCTCGAAGGTCTCTCCCAGATTCCACTCTCTCCATCGCCGGTTCTTCCACGTAGTTTTTCCCCCACAACTCGTATTTTCCGGTCGTCGGAGTCGTCGGCGAGCTGTAGAAACCACAACCACCGCCGGACGGAGAACAGAGACCTTGTGCCATCTGAACCCCCCATTGAGGGCTTGATTTCGATTTCCCAATTTGTAGCTTATGCATAGAAGCAACGATCCCATTCATCGAATTAAACGACCCGCCGCCGATTTGGGGGCAATTCGGCGACAACGGAGGTGAATCGGGCGGCGTGGATAGAATCGAAGTGGGCGACGTCACGAACGAGGCCTTCGCCAAATACGAGTCGAATGCGAGTGCAATTCGAGACGACCCATCAACGGAATCGGCCGAAACCGGAGTCCTGGGCAGGACACGGAGCTGCTCCGGCGAGTGGGCGAAAAAGCAGACGCGGCGGCGGCAGGCGAGTCCGTCCTTACACGGCTGAGTCCGGTACCGAGCCGGGTGGAGCCAGCACTCGAAAATCCCGTGAGCGAGATCGCACGAATCCCCTTTCTTGCAATTCCCTTTCCGGAACTCGGGGCACGCCGTGCCGGAATAGTGATACTTCCTCGGATCCCTCCGGCGAGCCTTCTCGCCGGGGTGCGCGTAGGGACACTCTGTCCAATCGTGGGACCGGCCACGCGCGCATCTCCGGATTTTGAACTCGAACATCCGGAAATGGTCGCAGGAAAACCCGTCCACCGCCGCCGCCACATCAAATTCGTCGGAATCCACCGCCGCATAGTCGTTTGACGGAAGGAAACGGTGAATGGCGGCGAAGGAGTCGATGAAATTGGAGTCAACTCCGGCGACGAAAACCGGTGAAGAGATTCCGGTCAGAGGGTGGTCTTCGAGTGGGTCCCATTGGGGGACTTCAATTGTGTGATTGAATCTAGTCCGTTCGCTGATCATCATTTTTCAGCTCCGGCCAACTCTGTGTCTGTGGATGAAGAGGAGGGTCGGCTTCGGACATATAAACCCACGAAAAGGAGGAGAGAGAGAGAGAGAGAGAGAGGAGATAGAGAGAGAGAGGGGAGTTGGTTTTTAACCGTGGATGGGTTAGCGACTTGTGTGGTTAGGTTAAAATATTTATCTCTCAGGGAAAACGTCAATACTACGGTGTAGGCGCCCCCACCGTTTTCAATACTCCCACTGATTTATATTATAATATATACAAATCGTCCCACCGATTTTCTTTTCCATTTATTTTTAAATCACAAATTGGTCCTTCTTCAGTTCTTTTTCTTTTCATCTAAATTTTTAAAACTATATATTATGATTTCTTTAGTTCAATATAATAAAAAATATAAAGCATGAACATAGAAAAGTAAATAAAAAATAATTCAAATGCTATGGAAACGACTTGTAAGCAGCTCTTCTCTTTAATTAAAGTAGTTGTAAAGGAGAAGGGTAGGTAAATATAATGAATACTTACAGCAAGGGGGGTCGTTGTTTTGTTTAGGTCTAATAATATTCTATGGCCTAATTTTAATTAATTCTCATAAATGCCGCATTAATTGGCATCAGACGGGTGCCAACATTTTTCCTGTATACCAAATTTAACAGTTTTACAAACCAAGATCAAAAAAATTTCCCTTGCCCCCGCTGAAAAGTGAAAACCAATTGCGTTTTGTCGGTTTTATGGAGTTATCTTGCCAGGCCAAATCAGTAATCTCCACGCATGCACACCGCGACAAATGCCCCCCATCCCCCAAACACACAACTAAATAGACTCTCGTTCTCCTGTTGCAACTATTTTTCTGAACTAATTTGTGTTCTTTCCAAGTACCCTTTTTTATTAACACATTTATAATGGTTCAATTAATTTGATATAGACACCCATTCAATTTATTTAATTTTTAGGTTAATTTACATATTTGATCTACAAAATTTTAAATTTTTGTAAGTGTCTTTTCAAATTTTCAGTTCTTAATTTTTACTTCTTTTTCGTAAAAGGAATAAAAAAAAATGCAGAAGGCAATTGGATCAAGTGATATAATTTTACAATTCCGGGTCCCACACAGAAATATCAGCTGCGAGGTGGATGGATAATCTTGTACAGTCAGTCCACGTGTCGCTATTGAGCGGGCTCGAATATCTGTATATCCACGCGGGCAGCGGGACCCACAATAGAGAGTGATGTGGCGGTCCCTTCTCTGACACTCCAGCCACGAGTACTGATGTGTATACGTGGCACCAGTGGCTTTGTGTGTCTGCTCCTCGAGATCTCCATGATCCAAAGTCCCTACCAACTACCCGTCTTTTTCTCTTATTTTGTTTCCTCCGGGATATTATAATAATTGATTTAAAATTTAAATTCAACCATCGATGGTAAGCTCTATCCGATAGGGTATGCTTGCGTGTATGCACTCACACGGGAGTAAATATCTAACATACACGTGTTTGACTTTGTGGGGCAATAATGGTATTGTCAACGCTATGAATTAATAATTTTGATCTAGTAAACTCGGATGGCGACAACTTGACGAATAAGGAATTCGTTTCATAAAATCCACTTTACAAGCCGATACGACAACAAACAAAATAATAATAATAATAATCAAAAATAATTTTTTTCCCTCTTTAAATAAATTTATTTTCTTATTCCACTTTTCTCCCTTTGATAAGATGGGGTGGAGGTAACTTTCAGGTACAGTTAACGCATACAATCTTTCGCCACCTTTGATTGTGACAGATTTTCAGTCCTTATATTTTGATAATGATATCTATTTCGTCGTTAGTGATTACATTGAAAATATAATAATAATATTTGGGTGTGTAAATTTTTAATTTTATCTATAATAGGTTTATGTGATAAACTCTATTTTGATTAATGTTGACGTGATGAGTGTGTTCATTAATGAGCTACCATATTTTTAAGTGTTCTAATATGAGTGAGCCACTTAATGGCAGCTATATTATTGTTCACTTATTTTCCTAACTTGATCATCCTTATGTAATCCTCTTGATAGGCTCTAATTTGTCACCTTTCGTGTCACTTTTTAGTATAGCAAATATGTTAAGTCAAAACTAGACAACAACATCGATATTATAAACTTGTTAATTTTTAAAGATATATACATTAAGAAGGTATAGTCACAAAGTTGGTAAGTACTAAATTTATAATTCGATTTTTTTTAAAGAAAATTACACTTCTATTACATGTAGGTTGTACTTAATTTCTACTTGAACCTCGAGCATCGAAAATTGCATTATTCTGCCTTGTGGAG